AGTCAGCTCGTACTACAAAATGTCTGCCGCGCCTATTTTCCCCTCCCGCCACCCCTGGTCCTCTGCATGTCACTCCTGCCTCGATTTTGTCCATTCTTCGTCCAATATGGTCGCCAAATTTCAGTTGCGAAACCACTCCCCGCCAACCTACCGAGTACTCGCGCTGCTGGTCGTCTTCGTGGTGCTCTCGGTTTTGCTACTACGTGACGATACTCCGGTGCAGCTTGAGGATGTTCCCAGCAGCAACGATGATGTTGTCAAGCCTACCAAGACAAGCTATGACTGGTCTACACATCCACAGAGGCATCCAGTCCCCCTGGCTGAGATGACAAGGCTACCGAACGGCCAGCCCCTCGCGCTCCCAAAGATACAATATGAGTTCGCCGCGGACCGATCAGACAGTCTGAAGAAGAGAGACATCGGCCTCGACATCGGCCTCATGGCCTCCCGTCGCAATGAAGTGCGGAACGCCTTCAAGAAGAGCTGGCAATCATACACCAGGCACGCTTGGGGTTACGACGAATTACAACCCCTCTCTTTGAGGGGCAAGAATCGCTACAACGGATGGGGTGTCACCCTGGTTGACTCTCTCGACACTCTTTGGTTGATGGGCATGTACGATGACTTCAACGACGCTGTCCAATACATCAGCACGATTGACTGGAACAACGCGACGGAGACGAGATGCAACATCTTTGAGACAAACGTCCGGTATCTCGGTGGACTCTTGTCCGCGTTCGATCTCAGCGAGGAGCAAGTTCTCCTCGACAAGGCCGTTGAGCTCGCCAACATGCTCTATGCTGCATTCGATACGCCGAATCGTTTCCCTCCTCACAGCTTCAACTTCGAGGAGCTTAGAGCCGGAAAAGTCTTGCCAGACCCCTACCAGAGCGCAGCCTCCATCGGCAGCATGTCGCTAGAGTTCACCAGACTTGCGCAGCTGACCGGCGACTTCAAGTTCTACGACGCCATCGAGCGCATCAAGAAGGCCTTTGACCGAATCCAGGACGACACACTACTACCCGGAATGTGGCCCAACTTCATCAACGTCCGCGACGACTTCCAAACGACCAATAACGTCTTCAAGCTCGGCGGAGACGGCGACTCGCTCTACGAATACCTCCCAAAGATGCACGTCCTCCTCGGCGGCCTGGACACGTCGTACGAGAAGATGTACAGGGGCGCAGCGAAAGCGGCAAAGGGCCACCTCCTCTACCGGCCGATGACGCCGCAAAAGGACGACATTCTGCTCCTTGGCACCGCCATCGTCAACGAGAAGCTCCGCAAGATTGACCAGATCTCGGAGCTCGAGCACCTGTCCTGCTTCGCCGGCGGCATGTTCGCCATGGCGGGTAAGCTTTTTGACATACCCGACGACGTCGACCTCGGCGACAAGCTCGCGCGCGGGTGCGCGTGGGCGTACAAGTCCTTCAAGAGCGGCCTCATGCCGGAGAAGTCCCAGGTCGTCAAGTGCGACACCGTCGAGGTGTGCGAGTGGGATGAGCAGAAATGGGTGGCGCAGAGCAGTCACCACGCGCCTAGAGGGTTCTGGCGTATCGACGACGCGCATTACAACCTGCGGCCCGAGGCTATTGAGAGTCTTTTCGTGCTGTACCGGGTCACTGGCAAGGCTGACCTTCTGGATATGGCGTGGGACATGTTCGAGGCCGTGCAGAAGGCGACGCAGACGGACGACGCCCACGCCGTCGTCGTCGATGTGACGTATAGCCAGTCGCGGCAGGAGGATAGCATGGAGAGCTTCTTCTTCGCTGAGACGTTGAAGTACTTTTACCTCATCTTCTCCGACCCGGAGCTCATCAGCTTGGATGAATGGGTTTTCAACACGGAGGCTCACCCCCTCAAACGGCCGACAAAGTCTTGAAGCGAGGAAGACTCTCACGATAATGCAGAGCTGCGGCAAACCAGTTAGTAATATTAATAAGCGATACCTTGGGAAAAGATACCAAGGGGCATGTCACAGGTACACGCCCTACACGGTGATGACATCTACTTCACATCGGATGATATCACGGCTATCCCAAAGCCATCGATACCGGCAGTGTACGTGTTGGGGTATTGGATACTTCCCAGGAGTCAAGGAGTTTTGTTACCTGAATAAATGTTACACGCAGTCTCGTCAGAGCCTTGGGGTTGTTGACGTATGGTCGTTCCAGAGAATTGTGTTGTGGCTGAGAACGATTTGACTCTTGAGTCAAATGTCAAGAAAGCGAACCTTGCCTACTTCCTGCGGCCATTCACTGCCTCCCTTTGACCAAAAGATCCGTACTTACAGTGCAGTCTCCCTAAGCATCCCTTTGTCTTCGCAAGTGGTTACACAAGAACATTCGCATTCCACTTGACTCCATCGTGTCAGCTTAACGCCCTGTATATGTTACACAGACACTGAAAGCATGTTCGAGTGTCTCTTAATCGCCTGCCCGGCTAATGTCTGCCAGGAATACCTACATACGTATCTCTGTGGTTTAATCCTACAATAGGACCCTTTAAATGGAATTAGATATGTTGTCAACACTACAGAAACTGTCTCTAATATAGACACCAGGTTTTACATCCTCTCTGCAAGTTTCCTCAATAGTCAAAAGGCGATGCTCCAACTACGTCTCAAGCGGACCGTTTGAAGTGAATCCAAGATTTTAGGACAGCAGCCCCGAATCAATGTGTGAATGAAGCTTTCGTAAATGTCACCAAATGTGCAAAGGCCACACCCATGTGATTGTTGACCATAGGCACTTGTTGGCTATGAAGGGGAACAGAAAAGAAAACCACATCTTCTCCTGGGTTCCTAGCCAAAGCTGAGAAACACATCCTTCCGTAGCTTTGTGGGACGATTCCACCCTATAGTTTAACCAAGACCTGAAAACTGAGTCACTACTGTAAAGTGTAGGAGCGCAGCAATTCATGAGCCAAAGAGCCGTAGTTGGACTGATGAGATTGCTTGAGCGCGGCCACTTGTATTGCGAGACTACTGAACTACAAGTGTAGCTAGATCGCTAGGTTATTTTGGAATGGTTCTGTGGATGCTGATCAAGTCTTCAGCGCAGACGCTGTATCGTATTCGAACGAGGAGTGGTGAACGATGAACGTCATTGAATCCAGATACCTGAGTCTGAAGAACGAGCTCACCAATAGCCAAGTTTGTTGTTGACTCTTGCCAGTAGACTCGTTGACTTGTTGACTTGACGAAAGAATTACCAGAAGGCTAGTTGGCCACGAGTGATAGCGTAACACTATGCTTAGTAAAGATGCAGTCTCAACAGCCATCGGAGGCGTCCTATGTGTGCTGTTTGCTTGGGATTGGCAAGTGAGCCCGTGTCACTTATTATCATTCAGGGGCTATTGCCAGGTGGTATGTACGGCTTTTAGCTGTATGTCAAGATGAGGAAGCTCATTTCGTCATCTAGTTCGACGCCAGAAACCAGGGCATCTCATCAACTTTTGGGGCTCTCTCTAAATGTGTTTCCTCCTCGTCTTGAGAAGGCGGCCGGGGTATGTAGCAGTTCTCTCTACTGTTTTCACTTTTTTCTTGGCCAAACCAATCACATCAGGTCCTCTTCTTCCTCGTCCTCCGCAACCTCCTCCTCATCCTGCTTGAAGATGGCCTTCTCCGCCAACGCCAGCGTCTGCCGCACCGGCAAGCCAACCACGTTATCAAAGCTGCCCTCAATCTTCTCAACGAGCAACATGCCGCCCATGCCCTGAACAGCATAGCCGCCCGCCTTATCCGCGCCCTCCCTCGTCTTGACGTACGCCTCGATCACGTCGTCCGGCAGGCCGTTGGCCTCCTGCGCAAAGTACACCTTTGTCTCCTCCGTGTGCTGGCAAATCTCGTAGCCCGGCGACCGCGCGTCCTCCCTCGGCGCGACGACGCACACGGCCGTCAGGACCCTGTGCACGCGGGTATCCCGCAGGTGGCGCAGCATCTTGATGTGCTCGGCCTCGCTCCTCGGCTTCTCGAGGACGCGGCCGTCGCGGGTAACGATGACAGTGTCGGCGGCGATGACGAGGTCCGGGTCCGGGATGGAGGCGAGGTGCGTCTGCAGGGCCGTCTCGTAGACGTCGAGGCACTTTTGGCGGGCCGTGGCGGAGACGTATTCGTACGGGCCGTAGGCGGACTTGTCGAGGTCCTCGGGCTTCGTCGAGGGTGTGATTTCGAGGTCCTTGAGGCCGATCTGGGCGAGGAGGGCGCGCCGCCGCGGGGAGGCGGAGGCGAGGATGACGCGCTTGGATTTGAGGTAGGAGAGGACGGGGAGGTTGAGGGGTAGCGGTCCCCGAGGGCCGCCGGGACCGCCGGCAGCGGCGGAGGGTGCTCGTGGCCGGGTAAGGTGTTCGGTGGCCTTTGTGTAATCGGGTGGAGGGTCGGAGGCTGTCTTTACGTCGGCCATTGTGGTATTGGGCGTGTATAGGTGTGTGTTTGTGTGTGTCGGTAGGTGGGCGGAGAGTGAAGCGCTTGATCTGTGCGGAAGCGGGAAAAGGTTCGGTATCAATTGGGTGTTTTTGGAAGAATCTAGTTTTGTTTCTTCTGAGTGTAGGGTAACGTCAGGAAGGGAATCGAAGTGCAGCTAAGGTAATATCGGAAAGAAAGGAGGTCTACGGATAGCGGATTGTGGGCCGGCAAGCTGTAGAATTTCTGGATGAGCAATCAATCCCGATCCAATGCCAATGAGGTCACACACAGCCTTGAAAGCTTGGGACGTGCCAACCCCGCCAGATCCACGCGATTGATTGATTTCTTGCCCGTCTCATCTTATCTGCCCTTACTGAGGTGTGTACGAAATACCTACCTTAGGTAAGGTACTTAAGGTAAGGTCCCTAAGGAGCGTTGGGCGGCAGGTTCAGCTCCTGTTCCGGCGGTGCCAGCCAGCCCTGCGGGCGGAAACAAACGTGCTGCAGGAACCTTACCGGACAGGGGTGGGGTGGTGGCTTTCTGCGAATCCCGCAAATCGCAATGCGGAGGAAAGTCTGGAGGGGGGATCTGATCTCAGAGCTCTGGTGCGAAACGGCATGTGATCGTGCGAAACACACACACACACACACACACACACTCTCTCTCTCTCTCTCATACACTCCCTCACTCATACACTGCACACGCGCATATACCCCGTTCGCCTTCTCTTTCTCAACGCCAAAGCTCAACAATAGGTACCGATAGCCTGGTCTGTCGTTCATGGATCACTTCCACTTATAACACCACCTCCGTACTTTGCATCCGCGCGCCTATAGAAACTGAATGTGCCCGCCGTGCCCATGTCTTCCCCCAACAAGTCCAATTCCCCTTCAGCGGCGGCGGATGCCGAGGCGCCAGAAGAGAAGCCGCGCCTGACCGAGGCGGAGAAGAAGCAGAATCACATCGCGTCTGGTACGTCAATATTTCTCTCTAAGAAGCTTTCTGCACATTCTACGTGCACACGCTTGGAACAACTTCGTCATTTGGCGCGGAACTGGCTAATACGACATGAATCTGCTACAGAGCAGAAGCGACGCCAGGCCATCCGCGAGGGCTTCGACCGCCTGACGGAGCTCGTCCCCGGCCTCGAAGGCCAGGGCCGTTCCGAGGGTCTCGTCTTGAAAAAGACGGTGGAGTTCATGAAGGAGCAGCTCAGGCAGCGTCAGGAGTTGGTCGAGCGCATTGAGAGTTCCGGCGGCGAGGTTGACGAGAAGTACAAGCGGTGAGTTGTGAGCCCCCAGTATGAGACTACCTATGCTCAGCTACTGACGACCATTTGTAGACCGTTATTCCATCAGCAGGCGAACAGCACTTCGAACAGGACTAGGTGATGGAACAGCAGGAGGGCGGGGTGTGCGCTGCGTTGTTGACTTTGCTTCTTTCAATGGGATTTCGTTTAATGGAGTTAAGGGCGACTGGTGAAGATTATACCTTGGGAACGGGAGTGAGAATAGGTATTCCGTCGTCGTATGAGGCTTCAGAAGAACAACCAATAATACTGGGAGGAGGCTTGACCTTGCGTTTCCATCATGACTATAATACAAAAACCCGCTAAGTCGGCGTTCGTTGTAGTGGTAGGTAGTGTACATTTCTAACATCTGTGTTTTACACGGGAGCGCGCGCGCGCGCGCGCGCGAACAAACACCAATCTAATGGTACGTCGCCACTTTCTCCTGCATCTTTTCTAGCAAAGCCAGGGGATCCATCTGCTGCCGAGAGCCCTTTGACGTGCCACCTGAGCTTTCCGGACCGTCCGTCGCCTCGACAGTCACCTGCTTCGCCGCGACGTCGCCCTTGCCCACCACCAATATGAAACCGGGCTGCCTCTCCCTCGCCTCCTTGAGCTTCTTCGCCAACGACCGCGCGCTGGCGTCGATCTCGACCGCGAAGCCCGTGGGGCGCGGCTGTCGCGGGTTTGCCGGGTCCCGCACGCGGTCGTGGCCCGTCAGGATATCCTTCACCTCAGACGCCCAGCTCATGACGGGTTCCGTGTCGTTGATGGTCAGGATCACGCACTGCCGCGGGTTCAGCCAGAACGGCCACCGACCCTTGTACTCCTCAATCAGCAGCGCCATCAGGCGCTCGACGGACCCCAGGATGGCCCGGTGGATCATGACGGGCGGTACGGGTCCGTACGTCTCGAGGTCCGCCGCCGACACGTCGGCGCCGTCCAGCGGGACACCCTGCGCCTCGATCGCCGGCGCGGGCGCCTGATACTCGAGATTGAAGCGCTGCGGCAGCTGGAAATCGAGCTGTATCGTGCCGGCCTGGTGCGATTTGCCGTGCGAGTCGTGCAGCATGACATCAATCTTTGGTCCGTAAAAGGCGCCGTCGCCTTCCTTGACGGTGTACTTCAGCCCAGCCTGCTCCAGCGCATCGCGCAACTGCGACTCGGCGCGCGCCCACTCGGCGTCGGTGCCAATGTAATGGTCCGCAGGCCTAGTCGAAAGCGCGAAGTCAAATTGCTCGAGCCCGAGCGCGCCGTAGACCGTCTTCATGAAGTCGAGCGTCTTGAAGACTTCCTCCTGGATCTGGATGGGGCGGCAAAAGACGTGGCCGTCGTCCTGGTGGAAGCGGCGCACGCGCGTCAGGCCGCTGAGGGCGCCCGAGATCTCGTTGCGGTGCAGCGGGCTGAAGTCAGCGTAGCGGATGGGCAGATCACGGTAGCTGCGGTTCTTGGAGGCGAAGATGAGGCAGTGGCCCGGGCAGTTCATCGGCTTGAGGCCGTAGTCGTCGTCCTCGCCCTCGGCTTGCCTTGCCGCCTGCTCGCCGCTAGCTCCCTCGTGCGGTTGGTCTCCATGAGAGCCGCCGCAGCAGCTCGTCTTCTCCTCAGGTGCGCGCGCGCGGCTGGTGACGGTGTACATGTCGTCGGCATAGTTTTGTAGGTGGCCCGAGACCTCCCATAGCGACTTTTTGTAAATATTTGGCGTGATGACCTCGTCGAAGCCGTAGTGGACGTATTGCCGCCGTAAGAAGTCGACCAGTCGGTTGAAGATTCGCGTGCCGTTCGGGAGGAATATCGGGGAGCCGGGGCTGTAGACGGAGGAGGTGAAGAGCTCCTGCTGGACGCCGAGCTTGCGGTGGTCGGGGAGGTCATCTTCTGCAGCGGCGGCCGGTGGTTGTGATGTTGGTGGTGGTGCGGCTTTCTTGTCGGCGTACCATCGTCTCGGTAGGCATTGGGGTCTCAGTCCCGCCGCCGGGCTTCGGAGGAGGATCGGTACCGCACGGTAGGCTGGTCGGAGAGACCGTGCGGGAAGCATTGTGCTGCGGATTGCTGGCAATCGGGAGTGGGAATGTCCATTCGGCAGTGAAGATTCTCGAAATGCGGCTCGAATTTGTGATGCAAGGACCCCAAGAGCTTGCATACCAAAGGGGCTTAGCGTCAATTGTACCGGGAGCTTGACAGGGTCCGCACGGACGACAGCTGTTCAGTCCAATCATTCCGTCACTCGCATTTCGACCCCTTCCATCTCGCTCACCTCATTATTGTTCACTCCAATGTCGTATTCTTTCAACGCAAAGCTCACTAGAGGCGAGACTTGATCGCGTATTTCCGGTATCGCCCTTTGCATTGACACCGCTCTGACAATTCCTGGTCATCAATTGGATATCAGGGGAGTTAGGGGATTTAGGATCCGCCACCATCCGAACCGCAGTTATACGGGGACTCGATTCAGCCGGGGAGTTAAGAACCAGAAGAGCGAGGTTGTCGCAATGCATTGTGACATGCCACGAACTCTTCGAACGTCAAGATACCCGTTCGTGCCGTTCCTGACCCCATGCCAACCATGGCACAAGCAACCCCCCTCAAACTCTGACTCCAGACCTTTAATCGCGGGGGAGACGTGTCCTCGACGGCAGCGCCAATGATGGCAATGTTACTGTTGTCGCGGCCCTACTTATTGCTGATGTGGCTTCCCAACCGTGATCGACCGCATAACCTGTACCTGTGAACTTGCACCCAATCTTCTGGAGGGGCATAGGGGCAAAAGATGAGTGCGCCGATCGTGTAACCGAATAAGGTAGCCAAACTTCAATTATGCGCTCACGTGGCACTGCTTCTCCACGATCGTCATTGGCTGATAACGATCAACACCACTCTATTGCTACCTCGTCGATTTTGGGATAGCGACAAGTACTAGTTCTTCGAGACACGTGGGTTCAATTCGCAACAGTCTTGTCACACAATCGTGCCGCAATAGGCGAGAGAAACCAATAAATCATTTCCGAAAAAAAAGCATTTGCATCGGAGCCAGAAGGAGCCGTGGATTCAGCGCCCCAATTTCATTCAGACAGGACCAAGGTATCTAAACGCTATGGAAAGCAATCACCAAACTTCAGTTCCGGTAGGTAATCGTCTTGGTCCGCACCCACTCGTCCAGGCCAGAAGAGCCGAATCTGCCGAATCCGCTTGACTTGACACCGCCGTGGGGCAGACCAGGCTCGTCGTGGACAGTCATGTTGTTGATGTGGACGGCGCCCGACTCAATCTCCTTTGCGAAGCGAAGACCTGTCCGCAGATCCTCCGTGAAGACGGCAGATGTCAGGCCGTACTCTGTGTCGTTGGCCAGCTTAATCGCCTCCTCCTCGGTCTCTACCTCAAAGAGAGCCACAGAAGGGCCGAAGGACTCAGTCTTGTAAATGTCCATGTCGGTCGTGACGTTCTTGATGACGATGGGTCGCAACCTTGTCTTTGACGTCTGTTCAGCGTCAACATCGCCGGCAAGAAGGGCAGCGCCCTTGCCCACGGCATCCTTGACAAGCTTCTTGTTCTTCTCAACGGCCACCGCGTTGATAAGGACAGGTGCATCGGATTGCGACGGAAAGATCTTTTCGATGGAGGCCGACAGCTTCGACTGGAACTGCTCGCTGACCTGCTTGTGCACGATGATACGCTCAGTACTCATGCAGATCTGGCCTCCGTGAAGGAAAGACCCGACTGCACACTGGTCTGCGGCCAACTCAAGGTTGGCGTCATCCCATACGATAGCCGGAGCCTTGCCTCCGAGCTCCAACAGTACCGGCTTCAGGTTCTCACCCGCCAGCTTGGCGATAATGCGGCCGACGCCTGTGCTGCCGGTGAAGTTGATCTTCTTGATCTCGGGATGAGCGATCAGCGATGATGTGATGGCAGCTGCGTTGGCGGGCTCGTGAACGATTACGTTCAGGACACCCTTGGGCAAGCCGGCCTCGTGGAAGCAAGAGACCATCTCCACCAGTGTTCGTGGAGAGAACTCTGAGGCCTTGAGAACGGCGGTATTACCGGCGGCGATGGGGAATGCTATTGACCTTGCGCCCAAAATGTAAGGGGCGTTCCTGCGTAAATGTTAGTCATCTACTTATTTACAAGCATTTTCTTTATACTAACCAAGGAGCAATGGCGAGGACGACTCCGTAGGGCTCTTTGATGACCATTGCGCTGACATTCGGGTCATTGGTTGTCGGGAGAGAGCCCTGGATGGTGAGGAGGCGTCCGCCGACGTCTTTGAGGCAGCCGATGCCCAAGCCCAGAATGAACTCTGACCAGCCTGCGGCAGCACCCGTCTCCTCAGACATGACGCGGACCAATTCCTCCTTTCGAGACTCCATGATAGCAGCAGCCTTGAGAAAGATCTCCTGACGTTGGCTGAGCGTTGTCTTCTTCCAGCTTTTGAAGGCTTTGGCCGCGGAATCAACGGCGGCCAAGGCATCTTCCTCAGTTGCGCTACCGCACTTGTGAATGACCTTTCCGGTAGCGGGTGAGACAACGTCAAATGTCTTTTTTGTGACGAACTTCTCTCCATCCAGGAAGAAGGGAACAGTGTAGTCCCCAGCTGGGGCGTCACCATTGGATTGTGTCGACATGGCTAGAAAAGAATCTGAAAATCGAGTTGAGAAAGTTGATCAGGGGTATCCGAACTACGGGAGAGGGAGGAAGTGAGGGTCTTATGTAGGTAGGGGTAAGAGAGGTCAGATGCGAACCGAATTCAGCTGAGCAATGGATTCTTATACTGCCGTGAGAGGTAGCCACCGACCGACGTGGAACACTTTGTTAATTCCAAACCCATGCCCTTTTCGACATGCCGATGGTCAACGCCACGCCCTCTAGTGCCCGGAACCCCGCACGCGGAAAGTGGACGCGGGGAGAAACTCTGAGACGACCTGACTAGGAAAATGCTCACCCTCAATCCTTCGAAACCAATTCTACCAATTGCTTTGAAATCTGGATATAAAGATGGCTTATGTCCCCCATTTCACCCCAGTTGGAGTGGGCTTGGTGGGGCGGTCCCGGGCAGGGACCCGGAGGTGGATACTACACTTCTCTCCCAGTTGAGCAGCATCCCCGGCCGACAACCCGCATCGTGCTGACGGGATGCACGGGAAGTGCTTGGAATTGGGACTTTGTTCAGATGTGAGACTTTAGCGCCCTGCGTGCAGTCATGAACGATGTCGACTCCAGCCAGTGATGATGCTGGTAGAATATATCTCATCCAAATGATCCAGCACTGGTGGGATTCCAAGTTGGATGAAAGTTGTAGCGGAATTTCTTTGCGATAATACCGATTTGACTGGACGTGGGACTGCTGCAACTCCAAATCCGAGGATTTGGCCCCACGTAAATCCCGATCTTCATCAGTCTTCCTTGGAGAGTGGACCATGGGCCAAGCAGAACTCAAGCCTAAAGGTCCTAGACCAGACACCGGATCGGACCCCAGAGTGGACGAGATTGAGTCGTGGGGAGGAATTCTGGGGTTTCGAGATGCCGGCCACAGTTACCGGAGCGCACGCGTGCCCATCTTTCCCCAACTTTATTTGCTAGAACGCCCCAAGTTTGACAGATGGCGGCGGGCAGAGGCACATGCTTTGTTGCCGGGCCTAAAAAAGTTCCGGAACAGCCGCCTAGCGCTCGGATCCGGGATGCAGCAACTCTGCTGAGACAGTGATAAACCGTCGCGATCCCGAAGGTGTAGCTATGTGATCGGGGTTGAGTCTTTGAAGAAACTCTTGATGGCGAGCAGAAATCAAGACCTGTCACTCCATTTCTGAAAGACAGTCGGGTCAACGAAAGGTTGAGATACAGCAGTTGAGTCTACTTGTAGAACGTCGACTGCAAGAATAATCAGTCCAGACCCAAGTGATTAAACGAGGACGAACAAACAAAGCCTCACTCTCACCTTGCTTAAGTCGTGATCCCGGCATGGCAAAATGGACATCCCGGGCCCCTTTTGGGCTTTCAGTGTAAGAACCGCGTCCCTGATAAACGGCGGGTAATGTCAACCCGACCTTCACGGGCGGTTTGAGCGCTTCCTTGGCATCGGCTTCGGGCATTGCTGCAGTTTATATCAGTAGGTGCTGATTTGATGTGGGCGGTGTTGAAGATAAGCAGTTTTAAGAGGGAAAAGAAACGGAGAAGGAAATGGCTTTTGATTCTGGAAGCCGCGAGTCAGTCTCTCCAGGTTAATAGTCAGGTACGTGTGTTCGTCTGATCATGAACTTCTTCCGCAGGTTAATCTTGAGTTTCTGTCATGGACGGCAGGAAGGAAGGGCCAAACGCCTGCAGCAGCAACTGCATGCATACCTTCTGCCACTGCACCTGCCCATGGTCCCAATATGTGATTAGTCACAGTCCCACGCCTTTTGACCACAGAGCAGCCACTCAGGCAGGCGCTCACCCGCCTGGTGACCCAATTTTCACCTAGAATTTCCACTTTTGGGTTTTCTGTCTTGTCATCAATGGAGACTTGCCTCTTGGCTACTCTACCATTGCAGTGGACAGCGTGGGAATTGGTCCCCAGATGCAGGGCGAGTGAGGGTGGATAAAGGCAGAGAAAGAGGACGATATCGGACCAGCATCTATCGTCAATATCAATTTTGGCTATCTTTGTCAATTCAAATTGCTATCTCCTGCGTCGGAGGGCTTGGGAATTGGGGGGTGCCGGGGAGTATCCCGCCTGTCTGTGCACTATTCTGACAGCAAGCCTGGGGCACGGTCTGGGCAGATGGAAAACTCGAAGAGCAAGGTGCTTAGGCGCCAGAGGTAGGGCCCGGTACAAGTCGGGTCCGAGTTCCCGATGCGCCTTTCCCGGACAGGCAGTTGTCATGTGTAAACTGGCACTGACTGGCAAGAGTCACCCCGCCCGCTGCAGAAGGTGAAAGGGCGGGGAACTGCAGATCGAGTCAGCCAATGACATGACAACTCCCAGCCATTCACCCCCGTTGGTCCCCCTCCAAAAGTCCAACGGCTGGGCAGGCGCAACGAGGTCCCCTTCCACTTTCCACCGCAAATCTTGCCTCGCTCCTCAGGTCAAAAATCAACCTTCTTCCCCGCCCTCCGCATTCGGCCGCGCCAGCTCCCACCCTCACATCGACAATACCAACACGCACGTCGCGACACCGGACCACCGCCCCAGTGAGTTTTCGCTCACCGTCCAGGACATCTCCGATTGCCGAGTCTCTACCTGCGAGCTCCGTTCGCACCTCACGCCACGCCCGGCCCGGGAGGGGTCACCCGAGCCCGCCTGTGCCGTGTCTTGTCTTGTCTCACCGCGACTGACCGTCTTCCGTGCCCTGCATGGACGTCGTCTCTGCCGGCGGGGCCACGCCCGTCTCGCCCACAAGTCCCATGAGCGCCCGTCATGCGCCCAATGGGCCTCCCAAGAGGAAGCACAGCAGCATGGCCCTGGATAGCAGTCCGGGCAGCAATGCCGGTCATGACGACGACAATGAGCCTGATTCCAAGAAGCGCCAGCCCGGCGTCAAGCGCGCATGTAACGAGTGCCGACAACAAAAGGTGAGTCAACCCACCGGCCGGAATCATGACATGAGTCAACCCACTAACCAGTCTTCTTATGGAACAGTTGCGATGCGATGTTGTTCAAGACCCCTTCCAAAGCTGTTCACGGTGTAACCGCCTCAAGCTTTCCTGTAAGATTGAGTCCAACTTCAAGCGCATAGGCAAGCGGTCGAAGCACGCCGAGATGGAAAAGGAAATCGACAGGTTGCGACGCAACATTGCACGCGCCCAAAACCAGGGTTACACCGTGGACGAGGAAGAACAAGACCTCCAATCCCCGGTTGCGACGAGCGTGTACACACACACTAGGAATCCATCCCTGATGGGCTCCGACGAGGCTGTTTCCTCGCTGTTGCACCTCAAGAGGGGAGGGTCGTACAGTCTACCACGCTACACTCACGAGCTGGAGAATGTACGCCTGACCGAGGAGTCAGTGAATCAGCTCTTCAGCCAATTCTTCGCGTACTACCATCCTTTCTTGCCATTCCTCAACCCGCAACAGACGCCTGATCAGTACTTCCAACAACACGCTCTTCTGTTTTGGTCCATTATTTCGGTTGCTGCTCGCCGGTATAGCGCAGATACTACATTGTTGACCTCGATATCTGGCCCCCTGACCAGACTGCTGTGGTCAACCATTGGAGATGTTCCAAGCAGTTACTTTGTCGTCAAAGCTTTGTGTCTGCTATGTACTTGGCCTCTACCGACAAGCACGACAAGCGCTGACCCTACGCACATTCTTTGCGGTGTAATGATGAAGGTGGCGACGGGCATCGGCTTACACAGACCAAACCACAGTCAAGACTTCTCCCGGGTGTCGGTCGACCTCAACAAAGAGCAGCTGCATGATCGTGTCTCAACATGGGCTGTCTGCAATATTGTAGCCCAGACTATTGGTACTGGTTACGGTCAACCGGCCTCAACCCTCTACGACTGGACTTTGGCTGTTCGACGAGGCGAAGACGGTCCCTTCCGATTGACACCCGAATTGGAGGCTAGGCTCCAGGTTGAACGTTTCTGCGACAAGGTGTCCAAGGAAATGTACAGCAATGCCAGTGATCCTCGTGGGGTCGCTGGTGATGAGCACCGAGCCATGTTGATGAGAGTCTACAGAAAGGACTTCAACGAACTTCAGGCATCGGTCCTCTCGCAGCATCTGGGGCCAATTGTCAACCTACATATGCGGGCCGCAGCACTCCATTTGCGTCTAGCTGGCTTCTTTGACTCGAGCACCACGCCTGGCTACATTGATGATCTGATGGGCCTCTGGAGGGCAACCACAAGCTTCTTGGATAACATCCTCGAGGTCGACAAGGTCACATCGCCCGGACAGAACTCCCCCGGACAAATTCTGCTCTATGCGACAAATTACATCCAGCAGATGTTGATCGCGGCAGGTTTTGCCTTACTCAAGCTCATGCGGTCATTCTTTGCCAAGACGATCGATTTTGATCGTGGCCGCAATCTCTTCCACCAGACCATCAATGCCATTCGCGCTACAAGTGTCGTGAACAACGACTTGCAGTGGCGTCTAGCAGAGCTCATGGTGCAAATGTGGAACGGAGCTCGACTCGATAACAACAGCACGGCCTCCTACGACAACGACGATTCGCCGCTACTCATTGACGACACCTTGCAGCTCAAGGTGCGCTGCCGCCATAGCATGAGTCTTGTATTTGACTCTGTCTGGCGATGGAGGGAAGAATATCAAGCCCAAGGAAGAGGTTCCATCGATGGTAATTATAAAGCTCTATCCCCTTCCCACCCAGTGCTCTAGCCATTGCATCCACGTCTCTCTTCGGTGTGACTGTGATGACTGACTTACGTGCCACCCCAAATAGCCATGAAACAACCTACTAATCCAGACTCAGCGAACGAGTCCTCAGCGTCATCGACCCATTTGGACAGCACTCTTATGCCGGCAACCCAAGGGCTTCAAGCGAACAGCCTGCTCGCTGCCAATGGTGCTCTCACTCCTGGCAACTCTGGTGGCATCGGCAGCCAACCACCCAGCAATAGCATGTTGAGCGGCATGTCCTACGGCGAGGCCAACTACGATTTCTTCGATCCACAGCATTGGATGCTGGACGGCCTCTTGGACTTCAATTATAACTTTGTGCAACCTCTTGAGGGCGCATAGGAGCCGCATGAAATACGATACGGGAGAGCCTGTGCAATGTAACTTCCCCACAGGAGTGCGAACGAAGGAAGAACGCATACGTGGGGGCGAGTTTCACGATCTGCAAATAAGCGGCGGACAGCTCGATCACAGCTTGCCAGAAAGGAGTGAGTGAATGCCCCTTCGGCAGACGTTGTATTAGGCCCCTCCGTTGGGGTCCGGGGATGAGTGACTAGGTTTGCAGCTCTCGGCGATCCTTCCATACTCCGATGTGAGCGACATCTTTGCTTTGCGACTGCATTGCAACCAGACATATTTGGACCGGCGAAAGATGGAAGTCTTTCTATTACGTTTAGACACCTGCTTTTGCCATTGGTATCCCAGAATGGAAGCTCCCTCCACCAACAAGCAATTCTCGTTGGTACACAACACTTTTTGCCTCGTTTTTATCCTCTTTATTTCCTAGCAGAGTCTGTTGATGACGGTATAATCACGCGTATATTCGACAATGAGCTCCACGACATGATCAGGCGACATCAGGTTGCGGCTTCGGTTTCGGCGCTCGTTTTGTACGTTTTCATTTCTTTCCTCGGAGGCTCTAGTGTCTGTTCCTTTTTCTTCTTCCTTTCTGGGATCATCAAAGCATTGGCAATAGCGGGTGAAGGTGAAGGTGAAGGTTTCTTTTTCATGGGCACACACTTGCAAAAGAACGCTGTGACTAGCTGTAGCTTTGTTTGAGTTTTGAAATAAAAAAAGATTAATTCAAGCACGCTCTGTTTGCACCTCTCGTTGTTTGTGTCTGGAAGCCCATGGAGACTAGCAACATTAACACAAGTGATGACTGCCCTCTAAGTACATCGGGTATATTTCTGCAAAGGATGGACTTTTCCAAGCACCCATGGTCGACTTAAAATCTCAAAAACCTCCCATATCACGACGGATGAATGAGCGAGGTATGTGACGCGTGTCCAGAGGTGAGTCACCATTCTGATAGTGTCTCCTATGGGCCTTTTTCGGAACTACGGACAGGTGACCTCACGGATACCGAGGGTACACGATCCGTAGGGAGACTCAGTCACGCCCCCCTCCATTGAAATCTACACGGATATCAATCGTTCCCTGGCTTGAACCAAGAGCAGTAGGCATCAGCGGGCGTCAGCAGACGGACAACTTCACGTCTCAATGGCCCCATACATACATTACCCCCCTAATATCAGAAACGCAATTTGGGGGGGGGAATCCCACCAGCTCAGCTGAGCTGAGCTCCACGATCACGAAAGTGTACAAAAAACATACTCACGATGATGATGATGATGATGTCGATGCCTCTGATTATGGAAATGATAGGCCCAGGCCATGAAGCACCTCAATCCCCAATCATGACGTGAAGCAACGAGAGTCACATTGGAGCGGGTACTGAGAAAAAAGTCCGAGGAAACTCATCCCCCTCTAGACTCTCCCCATTTCCCTTCGTAAAGTGCTCCATTGACGAAAGGAAAGTGAAGGCTCTCTCTTAGCAAGTACTTGGAGGTAGCTCCTATTCGCTGGGAGAGCCGCGGGTCGCGTATGTGACGGCCCAACAGGCTGATGTATGATGGGTATGGGCGACCCGGCTAGGCACTCTTTCCGCCGATGTGAGGCACGTTCACGTTTCGACGGCCGCAAAGTGGCCGTGACGGTGCGGTGGTGGAGGAGGGGGGGAAAAGGAGCAGCAAGTATCTGACGATTGTGACATTCTCCGCCCTGGAGAGGGTATCACCGAGTAGTCAAGGAGACGTCTGGGCCCGTATCTTGTATCGGTACCAGGTCAGGAAGTATTTTCTTTCTCGGGGCGTTGGGACATGCCATCGTCGCTTGTTTCATCGTTTGAGACAGGAAGCGTAGGGCTGGCAGATGACGGATCATGGGGGAAGGGGAAGGGGGGGGGGGGGGGGGGCTATGGTTCGCTTCAACAAGACGAGGGTGTTCGTCCGGTATCTCCATCATGACAAGAGACTAGATATGCCTTCTTTTCCACTTCCCGTCGAATAGGAAGTCGACAATGGACAGGTAATTTCCCGGTCTAGACGCACGCCTTTCGTCTACTTTGTCGACTTTTCACTCCCATATGGAAAGGAGGGGCCCAAGAGGTGACGAAAGAATCGAACCAGGGCGTAAGGCGTGGGGCATGTTGGTCTAAATGCTCTGATTCGCTCTTTCCTAGTTTCGCTCGCTCGCTCGGTCTTGCCCATGCGACTGAGGCCGTTTCTTCATCCGACAAAGGACTTCGATATCAGGCAAAAGGGTCATCACGTAAAAGGGGGACGAACGATTGCTCGTTACCTGAGGGTGACGGCCATCCCAGCAAGAACAAAGAACCAGCCATGATGAACATTTACCGACAGCCTGCGGTAAACGTTTCCTGAACGTCTCTATCACTCTCGTGGTTTCTGCGCCGCTTGTGGCAGCGGAAGTGGCGGCCGGGATTAGCCTTAGATTGTGTGCGGGCTGTGTCTTGTCTGGCTACTATTCTCGATCGCGTGGAGGAAGAAGTAGGGGGAGGAAGGGGGGGGCTTTCGAGTGGATGCGCCAACGATGGGCTTTTCGAAGTGTGTGTGACGTACAACTCGTGGGACGTCTGCGCTTGTTTGATGGTTGTGGATACGAAAAGTGAAGAAAAACGACAGCTTCCTAGTGCGCTTCCGTCGTCTATCGTTGGTCGAAGCACGAAGTGGCTGTTCTGTCTCCTGCTTTGGGTGTGGTCGGAAAAGTCGTTGGGGGCTGGCTATTCGGGTGTTGGTGTTGTTGGTTGGTGTTGTCTTTCTTTCCCAGCACATGCAAAAGAGCTTTCACAGCCTCACCACACACGTGGGGCACGAACGCTCCGCCACTTGGAACGCTTTTTTAACCGCATGATAGGAATAGGGTAGAACGCGAAATAGAAACAAAGTGCTACGGGGAAGTTGACATGATGTTTTGAGTGCCTTGTTCCTGCAGACAAGCTGAAGAGAGAGAGAGGTGCTCCTTTGACCACTAGAGCGGCGCAGCCGCAGCTTTCCGGGAATGCTGGAGTTTACGAAAGACGAGGGACTGCAGAAAATAGCAGAGGATTCTGCACCCTGATATCAGCTCCGATACTGCGGCCGAAAGATTGGGGTGCAGAAAGAGACCTCAAAGGCCTCAACATGTATGGACTGGGGTTGTCGGCGATGACCACTTCGTCGCCCTAATACAGCTTCGCAATAGCTTCTGAAATCGACCACGAAAACTGTACACTTTTGAATTGCCCATTGAAATTTCTTCTTGGCATGCGAGTTCGTCTTCGCCGATACCCGGAGTCGCCGGGGCAGCGATGAGGGGGCTTTGCAGGCACTTGGCCGCTTTTTCGGGCCTCTGTTGTGGTCTCGTGGATTGACGACCAGTCAAAACAACGTGATCAATGAGCTATAAGGCATAAGGTCAAATCGAAAGAGAATGCCTCGCGAGGCGTTATTCTCTTCCAAGGACAGCATCATCCCCAATATCCGTCACCAAGCTATGCCAACGTAACCATCTTCATCCAACGAGGGGTAGTATCCATAGTGATGACCGGTTCAGTGCTGGGAGTGGACCAGACTGGAAATTGACTCAACACCGCCCTGCCCACAAGTCGAGATCAGATAGGAGAGCTTCTTCAGTAATGTACACTCGAGCTTCTCGTCCAGATTAGAGTGCTGATTATCCCCACAGAGGCGTAGCGAGAGCTCGCACACCAGCAGCGGCTTTTGAAACGCCCGGAGCACATCGTTACGGCCGTTGGTTGTAGTCTCGCAGTCAACGGCTCGGGTAGAGACATGATTTCGGACAGAGATGAGCAGGATTGGGGGCTGAAATGAATTGCCGAAGGATTCGGGATGCTTTGCTTCCCCTCTTCGCATGCCCATCCTGCAGATGGGTGAGGGCGTGGTAGTGGTGGTGGCGGCTGCGCCTTTTGCGAATCTTTCAGACCATTGTCTGTTTCGACATTCCCACGCAACCACAAAGCTTGACCCTGGAAAGGGGGGCAGAAGAGATTTCTTTCTCTCCCCGGGGACCGTTTTGCCGCTGTTCCAGATGCGACATGGAGAAAAATGTTCTTACGGGCGCAACCGGCGGAGGACCTAACGCCCGCCTTTGTTAACACTGGACCACTTATGGCAGCTCTTCCACAGAACCACCACGGCTTCCAGCATGTCCACCCCCTCTCTTGACCAGCGAAGTCGTCCCGAAGAATGGCAATCCATGACAACTGCAGAAACTCGTCACGCCGCGGACCGGTTGTGCCGTCCTTGATTCGTGGGAGCCGGGGGGGATGGCGATAGCAGGTCAAAGAGGACCACCATTACTGAAGATGAGTGGTTTCCCTCGTTGCTCCAATCGATGGCGAGCAGGCAGACACCACGAAGGCAAGGCGCCGTCCCCCGGAAAGTATTTGTGTGCATCAAAACCACGCTCGAGTGTAGCAGGGCTTGCCAGCGGGGATTTCTGATCAGAGTCCGACGGGAGGGCGAGGCCGTCCGGCCACCCAGCCGTCGGCTACTCTCACTACGCCTTCTTCCAGAATGAGTAATGGTGATTGCTTTCATTGAGCAGTTCTTCAGTGAGGGGAAAGCTGCCCAAGGTCGAGAATCAAGTACGGACTCCCTTGCTATACGCTTCTAGCCGCAAAGAGGCTATCCCCCTGAAGCCGAATGGACGCCCGAAAACCCGGCGTGGAGCGTGCCCTATTCCGCATGTGGTCGGGAAAGACCTTGGAGGAGAGGGAGTAGTCTCGTGGTGTATCCCCTTGTACCTACGAGTTGCTCTCTTGGTGCCCCAGGGATAGCCAGCAAGTCCTCGTCCAGGGGGGACTTTAGACTTCGTTGATTGCGATGGATGGTGGAGTCTCGGGGTTGCACGGTGCAGCGATGGCAAGCGTCATCGAACCACTGCCCACTGGAAATCTCGGACGGAAAGCTCACATGGCGAGCGGCAAGATCGCTGTCAGTCTGAGCGTGCTTCGGTGCCTCGGACGGTTACCTCTAGCCAGGGTTCTTGAATCCATAGCATGGCTTGGCATGAAGATGAAGATTGTCGCTTCCAGATACTTTGTCCTCTCTTCCGACCACAGTGATATCGTTTATGCTTGGCTGATTTGATACGGATTTACCGCCAGTGCATGTTGACTTACTCGGGGACGGTCGTGGACGATTTGCAGTGCCAGACCCCAGCAGGCAATGCTTTGCGGTGGATACCTGGGTTCTGGCATGTCCAGTAGGACGCTTGCCGGAGGCCAGCTGCCTTCGTGACCCGAGAGATCGGAAGCGCTCAAAGTGCATGAGAATGCGCAATGCAACGCAAACCAGAATTCCAGGCGAAGATGAGGCAGTGTTGGCTTGATTTGGGCCCAAGTCATGAATATGGATGCTCATAACCGCGTCTGGGACAGTGACAGACGCGACCAACGATGTGATGAGGCAGTGACGGCCAATGGGGGCGACGAACTATGCGACCTGGGCGCTAAGAGCGTAAACTTCCAGGCAATGGGGATAAGGCCAGTTCCTCATTAGTCTGTTGGCGGCCGGTAAGGTTTGCCTTTGGCAAAGTTGACGACCCGAGAAGCGACCATGGGCAGAGAGAATTGACCTCGGGCTCGCGGCCATGTCGCCTGCTTCTGATGTCGCACCTCGGTACTCGTCAGGCGGCCGACTCTATAATCAGGTGGGAGATATCATGGTAACGAGGCGTCGAAGAGAGGGGGGCTGCGAGGCTAAGGCGGCACAGCGATCTCCTCCAAGCTCAACCATCGTGGCACAGGCTGGAGGCTTAGAAAGGCCAAAGGATCAGACTGCACCTCAGCCTTCTGTTTCGGCATCTATCCATAGAACGGTGATCTGCAAGGTACCATCGGCCTGAGGAACGTGAGGAAGGGCCGGCACGCGAAGGCGGGACGGCTTTCAGTCTCCTCTTCCCCTCGAAGTAGGACCGTACAGCTTCAGCTTGACTTGGCTCATCAAGGATGCGTCATAGCTTCCGGTACCGTACCCGCATCTGGAACCATGGTATCGAGGCAGGCGGCAGCCAGGAGCAACAGAGTTGGGGCACGTTTCTGCAACAGGGCGCAGGTGGTGTGAAAGAATGCGTGTGATGACAGCTAGCTTCGAGGCGGCGTGTGAAGTCTAGAAGAGTGTGGGTGGGTGTGTGATATCGCGGTTAAAAAGTTGACAAAGTTGCGTTCTATTGATCGTTTGCTGTTGGCGATGAAGTCGGGCCGCTTGTTGGTGGTAGAAATGGTCTATCTGGGAGTCACTAGCGACACGATGAGTGGTTGAATGTGCTTAAGCTTCAATTCGAAAGAACAGACGCGCGCTAAGTCCGAAGAATGGGATCGGCTTCTGGCCAGTGAGGTGTGCTCGTGGAAGTGGGGAAAGTACGGTAGGGGTGAGGTGAACAAGACAGAAGTCAACGACAGGTACGTACACCACGCCAAGCCTGAGGGGAGGGGTGTGTGATAGGGAGTGTCATCGTGGCCTCAGGCTTTAGACTGATCCCGGTAGCCCTGACAAAATGCCTCCCAGGCGATCCAATGATAGCCTCGCATGAGCGTGGGCTCCACCAGGTTTTGACGCTAAACTAGCGCGAACCAGACTGTCGGGTCTGCGCTAGTCCCGTGTAAGGAAATCCCTGACGACCAAAGAGATGAGAACTGAGCGTATTGGCCCAGTGTCCGTTTCCCCCCTCCCTCTCTGCAGCAAAGTCGCGTTCCTCTCCTCTTGTTTCGCACCGGCGGCCATACGTGGCTATTGTTCTTTCCTGCTCAATCAGAAGGCATGGTCGAGGGTCTCAAAGTTGCATGCATCGCGGCCAATATCAGCCCATTCCTCCCTTGTGACAACTCACCCTTTCGAACGAGCTTCGAGTCAAGCAGGGGGGAGGCGTATGAACGCCCGCTGTGGGGGGCAGGCATGGCATCAACCGGTTCTTCAGAAGTTCAGAGTCGAGTCTGTGATCGGGGCCCCCCTCATTTCGACTTCCATCTCCATTGTAAGACATCCATTGTACAAAGGTACGGGCGGGATCCTCCGAGTATTCACAAAAGAAAAAGTGTCTGTGCCGGTCAGCCAGATTATGCGGCGGCCCTCTCGCGGCACGCACGAAATGGATCTCAGATCGTGGCGGGCGGCGGCAGCTTATGCTTATGGGCCCTCCAGATCGAACGGTTCCCGTCTCTTCCCGCTCGTTTGTCCAATCCTTTCTCACCCTCATCATGAAGTTGCTGGTCCCGTGTCCATTAAGATTGCGGGGGCTGCCCAGTTCGAATCAGAGTACCTATGCCATCACTACCTTCACTATGCTAGCTTGGATGGGTATGTATACTAGGGCACATAGCCTGGCATTGTACTCCGTACGGAGGATGTAGGTATGCTTGCCTTGATCGACAGTGGCTTGATCGCATTATAATCGCCGCAGCCAAGGAATGGGAATACCATGGAGACTCGATGTCATGGGAGGAGGCGAGAGTCGAGACAATGTTGAAAGCTTTGTCCCACTGGCGCGTGTTTACCGACGCTGCAACAAGTTCTGCACGGGCAAGGAAACCCCCTGACAATTTTCTTTTTCTTAGAGGGTCATGACCTGACATGAAGGTGTCTCTGATCGCTGGGAAGAGAAGGGCAAGGTAGGTCAAAGAGAAGGCAATTTCAATGACGAGTATCTAGTTCTCGGATGACTGTTTAAGCAATTCCATCCTGAAGAGCCCGGCTTCTTCCAGTGACTCCAGCCCACTCCAGTCCAGTCCAGTTCAGTGCCCACTCAACCATGGTTCAGGACTCCAAGTTGACGGGACGCGACCCGGTCACACCCAGCGACAAGGAGTCAAGGTTGACAAGCGAGTCCTACGGAAACTGAGCCCCCGCTTTGTCCGAGGATTTGCAGCCTCAACACCCACACACCCAAACATCAGAGCCTATCCGTAGGTAGGTGAGGTCTCCCCTAGGTATACCCCCATCACCCCTGTCGCCCAAAGATTCCCACCTGGTGGTGGTGCCGGGGCAGCTGGGCACTGGCCGTTCTGTTCCGCGACTCTTGGCGTAGGTAGGGCCGGCCTGAGGTGACCAGACCTTAGAGCAATGCAGATTTCGGCAACGGTACCCTTAGCTATCGTAAGGGTCCCGCCCACGAAACTGATAGCAAGTGAGCAAATGTGACAGACTTGGGAGAGGAAGAGAGAGAGAGAGAGAGAGAGGAGACTCATAGCGCAAGTGCCGCCGGGAGAGATTCTAAGTTTCTGACAACTCATTGAGTCAAGGTTTTCACGAGTGGAAAGGAACTTGGTGGTAAGGACACATTTCCGCTCTTACAGTCATTGAACATGTGGTGGATGATTGATTTCAAGGCAACAATGCGCCGGTTGGGGAAAGCCAGTTATCTGGGTTCTGAAGTCCTGGAGACTGGAGGACGTGAACAAGCGGACCCGGCTCAAGGACGGCACAGTCGACGCACGCAGAGGTGTTGAGTGCAAGGCAGAGGCAGGAAAGGAAGGCAGGAAACAGGCTTCAAGGAGTCAGAAAGGAAAGACGGGGCTCAGGCCGAGAATGAGGCAGGCACGCAAAGATACGTACCAACCTCGAGATGAACGTCCCCACTTGCCCTTTCCTGCCCCCGGCCTTCAGGTTCCCAGGTTGTCGACCCCGTTGCGGCCGTTTATGGAGCCAATCACACGGTTCATGCAATGACATTCGGCCGTCGCCCTCTCTTCATTCTCTTTGGCTTGACCCCCGAACTCCATCCTCACCTTACTCCCTACGGAGTACTCACACTGACGCTCACCCTCACACAGCCTTTGCTTTCCCACTCTTCCTTTCCTCTCTTTACCAACCCCCATTTCAAGATTGACCCAGAACCGGAACCGGAACCTCAACCTCGACAAGGGCCAGCTCCTGACATCGAATGTAGCACGTCCTCTCGATTTCTTTCTTTTCATTTGTTAATCATTATATTGTGCTCTTTTTGCGTGCTTGATTGCCGTGTCATTCCAGCTACCTCATACCCATGGTAATTTCATTACCTAGGCCCTGGGATTATGCTCTGGACAAGGTATCTTCAACATACACACCTGTAGTGCACAATTGAACTGCACATACACGATCGTCGCTTTTTGACGCATGCCACAACACACTGGCTTGCACTCACACTCCCATACCCTCGCCGGAAATGGGTAACACTTCTGAGACTTCTGAGATCCTATGCTCTGTCCGCAACTCTCTCCAATCGGACAGAGATGCACTAAGGGCAGGGAGTTCAACCACTAATATAGCTTCAAGATCGATTTGATTCCTCTTTTCTCGTCTATCAACTTATCCACCACGGGAGGAAGACCGTATCAGTCCCGTCCCGGGGCAGCCCCGTTACAATGGTCCACGTCGATCTTGGCATATCTGGGTCCTTTACGTGCGTAACTACGTGCGTAATATCTAACTCGGACGCAGGTTGATAGCCCCCAGACGTCGCAATGTCAACCGTTCTTTTACAGTCACCCACACTTCAATTCAACTCTGCATTTCTCCCACCACACACGCTACCTTCCCAGCTTATAGACTTGATAACATTGCTTTTTGACGACACAACTCTGGTAAATCCATTTCCATCCTGCGGTGTTCTGCAGCAAGAGCCCTACCATTGCAACCTCCAGGTGGCGGGGTTGTCCCAAGCAACTGGTCCCCGTCCTGTGGATGGAGAGGAAGAGGCAAGTTATCCCACAACCCTAGCACTAGTATGTTTTCATGTCGTTTCTTCTGCCACGGCTCTCGTGCTACACTACTTCCTTGATGCCGCCTTGTTGTCCAAGTCTGTCATCTCGGATACTGACTACCAGCCCACAATGCTGTCAAGGATCATGGCCTAGACAATGCTTCCCGTCTCTATCTACATTCATCATGGATCAAGGTGATCGCGGAACCGCAGGATCGGTGTTCATTCTCTCCGAGTTAGACCCCATCGCCGATACCAGTCCCTGCCATGCTCTGCCTTACAAAAAAAAAAAAAAAAAAGGCTGTGTACCGTGCACCCGTACGATCCAGGATCCATCAGAGAAGGCCGCACATGCGGCATAAGTCAACGCTCATCTCCCCTCTCCTCCGGGATTCTTCGTCCGCGAACAAGGAGCATTATACATCGAGCGTCCCCATCGCCAATGGACGTTTAATATATTCTAGACCCCATCTACCTGCCTGTCCGCGCCATTCACGTAAGTACGAATCAGCCCAATTACTTTGCTCCTTCTACTTAGCGAATTCCAAGGTAGCCAAGTGAAGAGAGGATGCTGGTAGGCCGACAAGTCGAAGCAGAGAGTCTCCATAAAAACCAAAGAAGTACCAATGTCGGATGAACCAGGCTGTATGAGCAAGTGGTCGTCTTCCCTCTGTACTTAGGCGCCTCGCTACTCTCCATGTTAGAGCCGTATTACTTCCATTGGTGCCTCGAAATAGTTAAGAGGTGCAATGACAAGTATGTTCAGAGACTCAGACTCTTTCCTAAGTTCTGCTATGTTGAGCCTTGCTCTATCAGTCGTTCTTTTTCCCCACTCGTCCCACACCTGTCACCCATTTAGGCGCTTCAAGGCGGCCGCACGGAAAGAGAGAGAGAGAGACAGAGACCAGACAGAGCAAACCACACTACGGAGTACCTTGGACGAGTTTCTGGGAAACAGGGAGACGTTCTGCTCCGGTGGGCTGTAACATCGCTACGGATACAGCCTACTGGGCTAGGCTGGGCTGCATCTGCGAGTGTGACTGTCATGTCATTGGGACTGCTGCTGCTGCTGCTGCTGCTGCTGCTGCTGCTGCTGCTGCTACTGCGACTCTGTCGTTTATGTGTGTGGTTCTTGCTGGCAATGGTAACCTCTCAGAATCTTTCGCTCTATCCCCTGCTCCTCTTTCCCCCATCCATGGAGTTGTGGATACACACGCCCCATGCCCTTTTTTCTCTCTTTCCCTCGCTCTATCTGGACTTTCAACACACACACACACACACACACACACACACACACACACACACACACGCCCCCCCAAGACCAGGGCCCCAAAGCTGCTCGGCCGACTGAATCGACCCGCATCTACAGAGTTGCACTACCCGTACATACCAGCCCCGGGCGGCTATCGCCTGCGATGAACCACCCACATCCATGCCCCCGCATGCAAGTCTGTCTCTGTCTCTCTGTCTCTCTGGCGTTGTTGCTGTCTCTCTCTCCTCTGTGCCTGTCCTATCCTGCTTGTCCCCTCCTCCTCCTCTCCTGCTCTCTTGGTCCGTGTGCTGGCCCTACCTTACCTTCCAGACTACAACGGCCTCATGTACCTCGTGTATACTATCCTCCCCCCCTGTCTCTTCCTCGAACCCTGGCGATGGTCCCCGCTGCTTTCTTAACTGAAGAGTGGCACTCGTTCAAATCGTCTCGACTGGTAGGCTCCCCTTGCGAAAAAAATACAAACCTTTGGATCGGCATCCATCGCTGTCCACTTCGCTCGTCATTAATAGGCCGCGGCCATCTCGTCCTCGCGAGGCTCTCTTCTCATCCATTCCCACTTCACAAGTCCAATTACGGAGAGGCAGACTTTAGTGACTCTTTGGATTCTTTATATCGTCCATCCCCCCTTCCCATCTTCTTATAAGACAAGACGAGCTTCACACAACCACAAACTATCAAAGCTCTCGTCTACATCCGTGTCTTTGGAATATCCCCTTTGCCACTTACATACCGCTCTTCACAACATCAACACTTCCACACTCAGATTCTATACCTACCTCGATTGTCTAGACCTACTCTTGGTCGTCTACTTGATCATGACGAGCCAGAACTACGTCGACCAGACCACTATGCATACGGACGGACTGTCAGACCCTATGCCCAGCAGGCGCACTTCAGTGGCACAACCTCCTACCACAATCTACCCAGATCTTAGAAGCCCTCCTTTTGCGGTAAGTCGAGATATATATCTTTGATTAGCCCTCGAGTCAAATCTGACAAGTACAAGGTCACAACTTTCAGCCATCAGTCGCAACTCGGTGAATCACACATGTTGACCCCAGCATCTGGTGGCGGTTCGCCCTGCATCCAACAAACGTCAACTCTTCCCCAGTACCCTTCAGCAATGGCTCCCATGCAACCACAGTCTAGTCCTTCCGGTCCCGCGAGGATGGCTTGGCCGCACCCTGTTGCCCTGAGCGCTCCCCAGAGCCAAGTTGGCTCCCCTATGCCGATGAACCCTCCCACAACAGAGAGTCAATTCGACATGAACTACATCCACGCAGAACCTGAGCACGAACGCGAACCTCCCGAAGACTACTACTTTGGTAACTACGCTGTCTCTGCGCCATCTCAATCGGACCAGGGCTCCATGTCCCCTCAGGTGCCACCCAATAACTACTACTTGTCTCAACACCAGCAGCAAATGATGCAGCCGCAGCCTATCATGGGTGAACTTTCCATGGGACAAATTCCTCATCCTTCGCAAGCCCATGCACAGTACTATCCCCAGCCGCCTACTCACACCTGGGTGGAGGATTCCGATATCACAGCTTTCAAGTCTGAAGCTACCAGGAGACGTTACATGGGATACGCCCTTCCAAGCACACAGATACAACGCCCCGAATGCGTTCGAGGACCTAGCCGAGCCCGTCAAAACACCCAACAAGCAGCGGGCCGGACCCAAAGAAGCCCCCGCCTTAGAAGTCGAGCAGGAGAGTCCGAGGCAGAATCATCTGAAGACCCAATCGCCGATGACGAGATGCAGCATATCGCCTTGCTCCCCGATGAATTTGTCATCAGGCCGGATTGCCCACCAGACATCGCATTTCTCTTCGAGCGCCACAGAGGCTTGATAGCCCAAGGCGTCAAGGGTACCGGAATGTGGGAGATAATCACGAGCGAGCACAGAGAGAGGTTCGGAATGACGAGCACATCTGCACGTTTGCAAATGCAAGTGACAAGAGGAAGATCCAACTTCTTGCAGTGGTCACCCAGAGATGTAAGTTGTCACCGTGCTCCAGGGGTGTCGTTCTTTTAGCAACATAGCTAACAAGGGACTAGAAACATTACCTCAAGGAAGCTTTCGATCACGTTGATGCATTATATTTCAAGATGGTTCATCGCAAGTTTAAGGAGCTCGGCGGCGGACAAACAACTGCTTGGGGCACAGGTGACGTCGAGTACATGGCAGTCGAGCGTGGCATGGTAGACTCGGGCTACACGCCCTTGCCTACTTCTCAACCAGGAAAGGCCCGGAGAGCAAGGAAGCTACAAGCCCGTACCCGTCTGAGGGACCCCGCCACAAGCAGTGCTGTCCTGCTTGACGACACAGTCGAATCACAACAGAATCCAGAGGAGCGTCAACAAATTCTCAATGAGATATACGAGTACCGCGGCGAGGATAACGACGACGGTGTCGACGAAGACCCCATGTTCACGACGGTGCCCAGAGCTCGCCCACGAGGCCGCCAAGTAGAGATCAAGATGGAAGTGGGAAGCCCAGAGGAGGAGACGGCCGCCTCCTCTAGTAAGGCCAAAGGCAAGCAGCCTGCCAAAAGAAGAACGCCGGCAAAGCCTAGGGCCGTCAGAGCACGCGTGGCACCAAAGCCTAAGTTGACTTGAAGAATCGTCAAGATTCAGACAAGATCAACGGCGCAAACATCAACACCACCTTTGATAGTGGCCTTCACTTCTTCCGATGGTAGCCCCCTATGGGGTTGGTCCCATCATGCTATTCCCGAGCCCAAGCGGCTGAAACGACGTATAGATTGTTCATTGTCATTTCTTTTGCATTTGCTCTTGGTTTGGTCTTGGTTTGGTCTTGGCTTTCTCTCTCTTTCTCTCTCTGTCTCTTTTTGTTTTTGGCTGAAAAGATACCACTCATTTCGTATGGTCTTTCATACTGGAGGGGGCAGGGGGACGACCGGCGGCAAGGGCTCTTCTGGGTTCCGCAAATCATTAACTCGCGTACATTTACACTTCACTGTCTATATTCTTTTGTGCCATTTGGAAGATTTATTCATCATATATATACACATCACAAACATCACCTTGAATGAAAATGCTGTGCAACTCTTGGTGCTTTCCGAGCCCAGGATCCGAAGAGGAAAGGAATCGCAGTCCTGTCTACCTGCCCGTCATGACACACACCTTGGGCAGGAGGGGAATACTCACAACTCATCTTTCTCCAGGCAGGATTTCCGAGTTCTCGGGACCAAGGCAGCATTCGCACTCGCCGACGCGCCCAATGTAACAAGACTACGCTCGGAGTCGTCTCCTGACCATGGGATGGGAAGACAGCTCATCTGCCCGTACTTTGGCCCATTCATGCCATCGTCATCAGGATACGCCAAGAGAATAAAGTGACTTGTTCTCCTCTTCGACTGCTACACCAGTGTCAAACAGCAATTACGACGACAATGAGAGACGAGTTAGCACGCCTTGTTCGTCACATCAAACCCATGTTCATGCTTCATGTCGGGCTGGAGGGAGGGTCCCGGGGGGCTAGCCCTCTTCAACGGGCGCCCCGTCCGTGCTCTCCCTCCCCCCCCCCCCCCCCCCCCTCCCCCGATGCCGAGGGACGGGCAAGGCAAGGGTGATTGGATCCAGAGACCAGGCAATGGCAGAGGGGAGGGGGGAGAAGAAGAAGAAGAAGAAGATGTGCCCTGCGGCTGCGGTTGCGGGTGTGGCTTTCCTTAACGGCGCTGCGGTTGGTGGATACCCACCGGCAAGGAAAATACGCTATAAACCACCCGCCGTTGAGTCCTCATACGATGAGAGAGAGACTAACATCCACAGCCAGACCGTGTCTGCGGCCCTCCTGGCCCGGATGCGACGTGCTGCTTTTCCGCAACCTGAGAAGTCGAAACTTTTACCCTTTTCAGATGAGATAGTGGGCACCGGGTACGTTCAGGGTCAAGGGGGGAAAGGGTCCGGGGGGGGGGGGGGGGATCGTAGCAAGAAAGGGTTTAAAAAAGCCCATCACGGGGGGTGCCCTGGAGAGACTGAGAGAGAGAGAGGAAGAGGAGAAGGGAAAGAGGATCACAGAGGTCAGAGGAGTCCCATGGCTTTGGAGTAACCGCAAAGAGGCATTGCAAGGTTATGGGGGTTCAGTCGCAGAGGGGGGCATATCTAGCGCGCTGCTTGACAAGGGGACACAAGGCACGCCGCACAGGGCAAAGGGAACAAAAAGGCAGGGACAAGCATGGCGGCGGCGGCGCGCCAGGCAAAGGGTGGCACGGGTGGGGGAGGAGAGATGGGAGACGACAAAGGAAAGAAGAGATCCTCTCTCTCTCTCACAGTCTCTCTTGATGTTTCCCCGGGGCATCCCCGTAGTGGTTCACTTTTCTGCCTGCCCGCCTGCCTGCACATTGCCTTGGTGATGGTCCGCTCTGGACCCTGATGTCAATGTATACAGATAGATAAAGAGGAGAGAGATGGAGAGGAGGCGGAGACGGTCCACGATACTCGGATACTTCTCTCTCTCTCAGTCTCTCGACTCTGAGAGGAAGAATGGAGAGAGAGACTGCGAGTGGTGGGTACCCCAGCCGGCGGCCCCGCAGAGCGGCTTCCGCGCTCTTGTGATTGTCCCCTTTGGCGCCAAGATACTGGGCTTTCGGCTTTCCGGAGTACGGAGTTCACTGTAGGTTCTTGTTCCATTTTGCCCATTTTCGCCTCTTTCAAATCTTTGCGGCGAGCCGCTCGCTGCTCACTCACGTGAAGTGGGAAAGCTGTGAGAAATTCCGAATTTCCGGGGGCCTTGCCTTGCCTTGCCTGCCTGCCTGCCTGCCTGGGATGGGATTTGCCGGAGTTTCGAAAGTGGCAGGTAGGTAGGGAGCAGAAGAGAGAGAGCATGTATGGAGTACGGACAGTGTATCCGTAGGCAAGGTAAGATAAGGTATTACGAGCATGTACCTAGATGGAGAGGTAAGTCATCGCATCGCGCCTTGCTTGTCAAACCAATTTTTCTTTTTCCTTCCCCAAGAAAGTTTAAGCAAGTAATCAAAGTCACGTAGTCACGTAGTACAGAAAAGTATAAGGTAGTGTAGTACAAGAAAAAACAAGAAAAGAAAACAAAAAAACTGCAGTGTGTACAATAAGAGGGCAACAGCCATAAAGCTGTTCTTGCTTTAATTTGTTGTTGAGTTGTGATCTCGGCAGTGGCGTCGGGCGCGGGCAGGCTGGCCAAGTAGCAAGCAAACCTAAGCTCTCGGCCGTTGTGCGGGATAGGTTCGATCCGAGGCAAGATGACGGCGGGTGAGGAGAGTCCCCCTCCCCCGAATCAATGGGTACTTGGGCATTGACCATCGGGTAGGATAGCGTGGCACGGCGTGGATAAGGCGAAATGTGAAGAAGAAAAGTGAACGTTGGACGGGCCGGAATTATGCAATCAACTCCGGACGTAACTTGCGTCCACTGTCTAGTGGGATTTTTTTTTTCCTTTCCCAGCCAGCCAGCTTGACGCGGGGACGGACGTCAAGCCGCTTCGGTTAATGCTGTCTCACAAATTGCTGGTGTCCATGAATGGGGTTTCATCATTATCATCATCGTTGTCGTCGTCGTCGTCGTCCTGGAGGCGGGCCCCAAAGATTGCGCGCGCTATCTCACAATCTCAATCGCATTCATGGATGATGGGAGCGCATTCATGGTCCATCGTCTCATCTGATCGAGCGCCGCGGGGGGGGGGGGGGGGGGGGGGGGGGGGGTCCCCTTGATAAAATGTAGCAAAAAAATAAAAAGAGGGAAACGGCTGACGGGTCGTAGAGAATCTCCTCTTCTCCTCTACTCCACTCACTCTCACACATCTCTCTCTCTCTCTGCTCTCATGGAATCTCATCCTGGCGGACCTGACCTACTAGGGCGCTGACCGGTGCGGGTGTGTGACGGGAATGCGATTGCGGACCTGTGATTGATCCTCTGCTTTCCAGAATCCGGGAAGAGAGAAAGGCTCTCGGCGAGAGGAGAGGGAACCACCGTGGCCAGGGGCCCGGAAGGGGTGACGAAGCGATGAAGCGACGAACCTCCCTGCTTTGCTTGGAGCACCACAAAAACGCACTGCACACTCACACGCAACTTACACTACAAGACAGACATCCACATCCATCAACCCTTGGGGAGTCGGGATGGGGGGGGGGGGGGGGTGTGCGATGCCTTGGATACCCATGGTGCGAATCACGGGTAATGGTGCGTGCGTATTCCGTACTCCATGCCGTCCATACCGTAGTAGGTATCCGTAGGAATACCCAGTCTGCACACTCTCTTCCATTTCGTCTCCGTACGGCAACGGGTGCTAGGCCTGCATGGACCACTAGGCGTTCCGCAGTCGCAACGTTCCCTTGTCCGCGCCGCCTTGGGTGTGGAGCCTGACAACCTCTCTTCCTCTTCCAGCCCCCACCCTCACCCTCCTCGAGCCCACGTCCGGTCTGCTCTGCAGAGACACTTCATCAACCCGTCCCAGGAATTCGGTAAATTGGATGGAGACAGCGCGATAAAAACGCAAACTCTCATCTTGTCCAGACTAAATGTTTGCGGCCTTCGGCGGGTATCTTTCAGAGCCCGACAAGGGGTGGGTGGAATCAAGAGAAGAGAGCGCCGCTGGTGCCTGTTCCCTTGTCCTTCAACGGGTCCCCCGCGGAGTCGACCTCAACGCTAGAGATTTCACTTGATTTGTTCTCTCGTAATTGCCATTGTTCGGCTGCCGTCCGTGGCCTTCCGTTTCGCTGCTTCGTCTAGAGACACCGCAGCCCCAATGATCCCCAATGATCAGAGAGGGGGAACTGGGGACGAAGGCATCCATTTGCCCCCCCCGCTTGCTTGGCCCACGGGCCATTGCCAGCCATGGGGTTTCCGATAGTGTTGATCAATTTGGGGGGTGCTTGACTGGGCTGAGCTGCCATCCTCGAAGCGATGTAGCCCTCTGTTGCAACTTGCCGTGCCTAGACAGGCTAACCTTGCCCAATACACACGTCAATGTCGTCCACTTTGTTTTTCCGATGATCTTTCCAGGACAAGATCGTTTGTCACCTCACGCCATTGTCGGCGGCCGCCTCCATGGGGTCGTGCCATGGGGTCGCAGGTGTGCGCAGTTCATTGTTCAACCCATTCGTCTGGTCGCAGCAACCCAGCAGTTATTGTGTGACAATAAGTGACGCTTGGAGAATCTCAGCCCCGGATTCTAGTCTTCGCAAGCGCCCAAGCTCGTGTTGCGCCTGTTCCAACCGGCCTTCTTACTTCAACGACGAAGCTGCGAAGCGCGAAGCGCGTGTGCCAGGCCGAAAAGGCGATCATGCCATCCATCATGTCTGCCATGCGCTATATCCGGAATGAGCCTGCCAGATCACCGCCAAACTGGCAAAGGAGTGGTCGGTAATTCTCATCTGCAGCGGCTAAGCCACTACTCATGCAAAACCCAGCCAGTGATATGGCTATCCGTCTTCTCGGGACGAATCAGAAGTGCAGAATAGAACCGCCTGCCGGGTATAACCTTTCCCTTGCAGAGGAGTCGCAGCATCTGTACAAGCAGACCAGCAAGCAAGCCAATCGCGCCATCCAGCAGCGTCGGGGAGACAATCGTTCACCCTCCTCTCCGCTTTTCCACTAGTAGACGCTCGGTTTCTATGTGCTGCCAATCGAACGACTGCAAACACGCACTTTGGTCCAGAGTTTCTGCAGCTTCTGCTTCATTATTTCTACTTTGCAGGCCTCGTTCCAGAGCATCGGGTCCAAAGTCGGTGAAGACAAGATTGCTTTTGTTCCGGGATGGAATCCAAATCGTTGTGCTCCTGCCTCATTTGGATGTTCGAAACAGACCAGGTGCCGAGTCGAATGGTCCGCCATCTGGCAACCGACATGGCATCAAACACTTCCCGGGACGAGGGAACGGGGGTGGAAGATTGCGCCCGCATTCCAGGTTTCCAGATTCCCAGGTCTCCAGGCTTCTGCTGTGCGGCATCCACCGTAAGCTCCGCTCTTGTGATCTAGAGCTCTCTGAAAACTCCTCTGATTTGGAATCAGGAGGAGATCAAAACTGCGCCGCGGACCGTGAAAGGAGATATTCAGCTCGAGGGCTGAGCAACTTGAATGGCAGGGTGCGCATAGCAAACAGTTCATGCCTGACGTGCCTCTTAGAGATAAAGGTGTGGGATGTAGCTTAGTGAGACGAGATATGATCCTAGCCTGCAAGCGTTATAGCAAAGTGATGGCGATAGACCGTGGCGAGTGAATCTCGCAGTAAGTTCGGTGTTCAAGCGGCGTTGCCTCAGCCGCGTATCGGGCTAATGGCACGCTGCATATTACTCGCATCTAAGAGGACCTCCGTTACGCGAAAAACTTTTGCTACCCCGGTAGAAATGACTGGTCTCCGGGACATCGTGTGCGAAGTATCGAGGCTGGAGTAAAGCTGGTGAACGACCATGAGTGGCTGATGTTCGACTGCTAAGCCTGCGAAATGGGTGCGGGAGGCTGAAGCCACGGCCTGCCGAAATGGCCTGGCGGTGTGCGCGGCCCGTTTGGCGGCCACCTGCAGTTCCAATACAAATACCCATGGGTGATGATCGGTCGTACGAATAGTGCAAGTGGGCCGGATGGACGTTACAGCTTGTCGGTGACTCTGCCCCGAAATGGCCCTTCCCGACGAAATCGATGCTGAAGCTCGCTTCCCCTCCATGCTGCCTGAAACTGGACGACACGGTTCTGATCGAAATGGCTTGACGTTGTGGGGGCAGCACCGGTGATGGACCGCTGCGCTCCGACATTGACTATCATCGGCCCCGGGGCGTGAGGCAAGTGTGCACGAAATTGAAGTCTTCATGAAATAACTTGGAAATTGTGGATTGAAGGCTCGTTGTGTAGAAGAAGAGGTATCGCGCTTATGCGGCGCGCCTGTCACCCAACATTGGAAGCGCTTCGAGAATACATCCTTCGATGAGGTTGACATTGGAGGATTTTGGCGCTGTGGGGTAGTTGGAAGAAAGAAAGCTTCCCGTCACTTAGCGCCCGAACGAGCGAGTGCACTGGCCACACCTTGTTCTGAATGATGAGGTAAGGATTTGCGATAAGCAACTCTAAGAAGATAAGGGACAATCCTCGGTTCACGAGATCCCTCCTCCTCAGCCTTCCATTTATTAGAGTTTCTCTCACAAAGCCTTTGGATTACATCCATTCTCCCTACCGCCTAGACGTAAGTCTGAAAGGCCAGCTAAGTTGATAATATCTCCCAACAAATTCGATCACACTATTCAATCCCATTCCGCGTTCACACCAGTCCTGGTAGCTCTTCATCTTCGAAGCTGCTTTTGTTATGTTGTCGGGGAATCATCGGGTATATAATCCAAGCACATGTTTCGAAACGACTGCGTACCCCATGAAAACGATGATCGAGAGCAAAGACACTATTATCGTTGGCCAGATCTATGGAAGTGAGAGAGTACCGTCACGACTCTCTCTGTCTCTCCAGACCTTCTAGAACCCTGATCGGCAACTGACTCAAGACACGTTCGTCCAATCTGACGGTGCACTACGGCAAGTGCCAGAAGTTGAGGTGCAGCACTACAGCAGCAACGCACCGACTATATGATGAGTCAGCAGCTCCACCAATGGGAGGAAGATGACAGACATCGCATCCCACTTCGATGTTCGACGTCAGACACGAGACCTATCAAGGGCGGGCGACGTTTTCCAGTTCAACGTTGTTCCTTTCTTTCTCTGCGAATATTCTATTTTCTTCGGTGATACCCATGTTCTTTTTTCAAAGTACAACTTGCTTGATGCCCCAAACTCCATGAAGAACCTCGTCTTCAGTCCCGTATAAATCGAGAGGCATCTGCCGCTGGCAGTCGGCTGATTGATGGGAACCCTACCCGGCGCCAGAAGAGATAATATCACCATGTTATCGCGATCGTTCGTTCTGGGCTATCTGTGTCTTTTATGGCCGACAATCGTGTTTGCAATCAGCCATGCTCACCTTGCCGAACTCCGCAACGCAACTACCCAAGTCTTCCACCATGGCTGGGACAACTACATGCGCGTTGCGTTTCCAGAGGACGAGGTACGCAGACACTTGGAATCTTCGAGACATTGGAACCATACTGACTTTGCATTTAGTTACGCCCGATCTCCTGCACTCCGTTGACGCGCGACCCGGCGAACCCCGGAAACTACGATTTGAACGATGTCCTCGGCAACTACTCCCTTACCCTCATCGACAGCCTTTCGACCCTGGCTATCCTCGCGGGGACACCTTCCGATGAACATACTGCTGTCTGGGCTCTGCAGGAGTTCCAGCAGAGCGTAGCAGCTTTCGTCGAATACTATGGCGACGGAAGACGCGGGCCGTCTGGGGAAGGGCGCCGAGCGCGAGGCTTTGATTTGGACAGCAAAGTTCAGGTCTTCGAGACAGTCATCAGAGGAGTTGGCGGCTTGCTCAGCGCGCATTTATTCGCCATCGGCGAATTGCCTATACCTGGCTACAACCCTGGCCAAACCTTCAACGAAGACGAGGATTCGGATCCGTTGGAGCTGCAACCCATAGCATGGCCGAACAGCTTCAAATACGATGGGCAGCTTCTTAGGCTAGCTCTGGACCTTGCAGAACGACTCTTGCCTGCTTTCTATACGAACACAGGGTTGCCGTATCCGAGAGTCAACTTGCGACAGGGCATACCTTTCTACGTTAACTCTCCACTTCACAAAGTTTCTCGCGATGATCCGGACTCACCTCGAGCGACGAACGAAAAGACAGACACGTGTAGCGCCGGCGCGGGAAGTCTCGTACTAGAATTCACTGTTCTTAGTAGGCTCACAGGCGACTCAAGATTCGAACAATTGGCAAAGCGGGCGTTTTGGGCAGTGTGGAAAGCTAAGAGCGATATTGGTCTTGTTGGTAACGCAATTGACCCCGAAAAGGGCGAGTGGGTTAGCTTTGACTCGGGAATCGGCGCTGGTGTTGACAGCTTCTTTGAGTATGCACTGAAAAGCCATATTCTATTGTCTGGTCACGAGCTGCCAAATGTCACCGCCTCAGAGCCACCCACTGATCGGCAGTGGCTCGATCCCAATACACTACACGACACACCGTTGACGCCTGAGGAGAACTCAGCTGGGGCTTTCCTGGAGGCGTGGCACCACGCACACGCAGCCATTAAGCGCCATCTATACAATGACGCGCATCATCCATACTATATGACTGGTCACCGAACTCGCGGATACGCTTTCACGAGTTGGATTGACAGCTTGGCAGCCTTTTACCCTGGCTTGCTTGCGATGGCTGGCGAAATTGAGGAGGCCGAGGAGGCCAACCTTCTGTATACGGCTCTATGGACTCGTTACGGAGCATTGCCCGAGAGATGGTCCGTACGTGAGAGACAAGTCGACTCTGGCATTGGTTGGTGGCCTGGCCGGCCTGAATTCATCGAGTCCAACTATTACCTGTACCGCGCTACGAACGATCCCTGGTATGTGCACGTCGGGGAGATGGTTCTCAGTGACATCAAGAGACTGTGTTACACGAAATGCGGTTGGTCCGGCCTGCAGAATGTCGACACAGGGGAGAAGGCCGACCGTATGCAGAGCTTTTTTCTTGGCGAAACCACCAAGTATCTCTATTTGCTCTTCGATCCGGATCACCCTCTGAATAAGCTCGATGCCGCTTATGTCTTCACAACGGAGGCGCATCCCTTGATCATCCCTCGAAGAAGAACGAAGCCAACAAAGAAGCAGAAGCACCGCAAACAACATAGCAGCGTCGATGTCTACTATGACGAGAACTTCACCAATACCTGCCCTGTTCCAAAGCAAGTTCCTCTAACCGGTTCTGTTCTGGCTGCGCGGCCTGACGTCTTTCATGCAGCAAGTTTCGTCAACTTGCACACCATCTCCAACCCACGCAGTGGAGTCGAGTTGGTTCCCGCCGGCAAAGGCAGCAATGGCTCGATATCAAGGTACAAGGCAAATCATACTTTCTTTCCTTGGACACTCCCACGCGCTCTCATCCCAGACAACGGCACCTGCGCTGCTTTGCCTTTCAAGCCTACGCTGGTCATCGAGTTCCCGGCAAACATACAACAGGGCAGCGTTGGGAGCGCCTTCAATAGCCTCTTTGCCAACACTGCTGCTTTCAAAACGCCAGTGGGCGTCAGGATTTCTGCCCTGAGTGGATTGAAGGTCCACTTCGTCCAGGAGGAATCATTTGACTCAGCATATGATCATACCTGGAGGGTCACCCAGGTCAACCATATGCCGCTGGGGCGAGACGAGCCGGTACACATTGACGCGGACCTCCTGAAAGGCATTTCCGATCCTCTCTTCAACCGTGTTCGTTATAATGGGTTTGTCGAGCTCATCATGATGCACGGAGAGCCGGAAGAGCGAAACGCCAGTGCACCGGTACCCGCTGAGGGGCTGGAGGTTGAGATCAGTGACCTCGACGATCAGGTTCAGCTCACTGAAGAGGCGCAATCTGAGCTCGTAGAAGATCAGGCTGCCGGCAAGAGTATGAACACTGCCTACAGGTCCATGATCAAGTCCATGATTCGCGCTGTCACGTCTGTCTTTGATCCCACCAACACCCCGGCACCACTCCCTGCTGGTGCCAAGGCAAACTTCCACGTTGAGAGCTACATGGGTGCTTTGGCAGTTGGGAAAGGCGCTGTTCCGCTGCCCGATGTTCCTGACGCTTCTGTCCCCAGCGATGACGCTCCTCCGAACCTCTCTTGGCAGACGGTCTATCGAGCTGGCTTTGGGTGTGATAGTCGCTTGCCTGATGAAGCGCCTCGCAATCATCAAGTTATTGTATTGCGCCGTGGAGGCTGCTCGTTCAGTGAAAAGATTGCCAATATCCCCTCCTACACACCTTCGCCGCGATCTCTACAGCTCGTAATCATTGTCGACGAGGAGGAGCTCGAGACCAATTATGTCTTCAGCGCTCCCGATTTGTGGGAATACGAGATGATTAAACCTCATCTTGACGTCGAGCAGGTTACACCTTCGGGTCTAAGACGGCCGCACCCCATCGCCATGGTGATGATTCGCGGCGGTGGGCCCGAGGCTTACGAAAAGTTTGGCAATGCCCTCGGCGTGGGAGTTCGGAGGAAATACTTCATCGAGACTCAAGGTCGGAGGGTGGATAACATCATTGTCCTGTAAACGGGGCAGAAATGCTGTGGAAGTAGAAAAAGGAGAGGTTCATGGTCTTTTTGTTGGAGCATAGCGATACATTGTATATACGGGTCTGGAGGTGCATGATAGATACCATATGTGGAGGAGTTTCTGTGTTGCTTCATGCTTTGATGTTGAACTGCAATTTCAGAATACGGCTGTTATGAGCCATTGAGGTTCTCTGTGTTTGTGAACAAGTGAAACAAGCCTAATCTTTTGGTTCCCTCTGGAAATCCTCTGCCTCGTCAGCTTCGTTAAGGTTTCTTCCACTTGTCCTTTTGATTCTCATCAATCGACTTGAACAGTTCTTGTGAGTTTTAGTAATGCGACGAAGGGAATGATTCTGAATCTTTGTTGAGATGAGCGTTGAGTTTCCGGTGAATAACAGTGGGAGATCGGATTTTGTGGGCCCGAAAGCTCGAATGACGCCAAAGGAAGGTAGGACCCCTAAATCAAATATTAAGGTACCTTCCCGCGACTAAACCTTCCGGCACAGTGGCGAGGTTTTAGCCAGAAGCTGTCAAGGTGTTTAAATCAACTTGCCTCAAACCCAAAACTGAACTACTGCGAATCCCACCACGCAACGGGGTCTCGTGTATTTGCTTGAAGGACACCTTATCGAACCCGGGTCATACGTTGCCTAGGACTCCTAGGTACATCAAGGGATAGAGAGTACTGCTCTGCAAATGACCATACCAGAAAAGCGCATTCACGACACCGACGAATAATTCGTGCACTCTTTCATCTGGAATTTCATTTATGCAGCATGCCATCGCAGGTCCAAGACCGAGTAATCCATTCTTCTCTCATTCGATAACAAAGGATTCGACGGAAGGCAAGATTCGACATTTCAAATCTCAAACAGAAACATACACCCATAGCTCCGAACATCTGGGACCTTGTCTTGCATAAGAGAGTTGGCTCGTGACCTTTCGGGCGAGTCTAGATTACTATACAGACTCGAATCGGAAATCTTTTGCCTACAGATTCGACGCTCCAAAGTTTGGCTCCAAATCTTAGCTATGGAGTCGCCCTTCTTTGACTCTGAACCTCAACCCGAGGCCGCGAGCTTCAGGGGCCGGCTTCAGATGCAAGATTTCATGTTCACCCCGGCGAGCGAACCACCCAGCACCACTCAAGCCAGGACTTTCACTGACAATGATGCTCCTGCATCCCCTGGCCCATCATCTCGGCCACCCCTCCGTCGTAGTCCACGGAAGCAGACTCCACTCCGACCAGTCCCATCCCCGAACCGGATCACCAAGCAGACGGCCGGCAGCCGCATCAAATCCAAGACACTCGAGTCCGCCCCAGCATCCATCTCTCCCAAAGTCGAACCTGAAGAAGACTCACAAGACATATCCACCATCCTCAACGACCCAGGCCCAAAGCCGACCGCAAAACCGAAACGCAAACGCAAGGCCGCCGGAGGCTACGCCCCGCCCTCAACCTACGCCCACCTCCCCCACCTGACCGACATCCTCGCGCCCAACCTCCTCATCCTCTTCGTCGGCCTCAACCCAGGCCTCCGCACCGCGGCCCTCGGTCACGTCTACGCCCACCCCTCCAACCTCTTTTGGAAACTCCTCTTCTCCTCGGGCATCACCACGCGCCTCTGCGCGCCCGCAGAGGACCGTGACCTGCCGGCGCTGTACGGGCTGGGCAACACCAACATTGTCGCCCGCCCGAGCCGCAACGGCGCCGAGCTGTCCAAGGCGGAGATGGACGAGGGCGTCGGGGCCCTCGAGGACAAGGTCAGGGGGTGTAGGCCCGAGGTGGTTTGTATTGTGGGTAAGTCGATTTGGGAGAGTATCTGGCGGGTGAGGCATGGGAGGGGGATCAGGAAGGAGGAGTTTCGGTATGGGTGGCAGGATGAGAGCGAGAACATGGGTGTCGTTGTGAAGGGGGAGCAGGAGGAGGGGATGGGAGACGGCATCGAGGCGTTTGAGGCGTGGGCTGGCGCCAAGGTGTTTGTTGCTACCAGCACGAGTGGTCTTGCTGCCACGCTCCGCCCGGCTGAGAAGGAGAGGATTTGGAGGGAGTTGGGTGTCTGGTGTGAGCGTAGGCGGGCTGAAAGGGAAGCGGAAGCAGGAGCTTGAGGTCACTGTGGAGAAGTCGTATCAAATATTTGAGGCGGCTTAGACACAGCGCTGAACATTTCGACGTTACCATTTTCGAGTAATGGCGTCGGTTCACCTATTGGTGGCAAACTAGTAGCATCTGGTATGAAATCACTCAGCATATTATCGGTCAAAGAGCATAGAATACTACATTTAAGTCGTTCGTTTATCGAAGATAATAACTGTTCATTTTTCATGATCCCCAGCAATGGACCCGTTCCCATAATCATGTAAAGTCCTGGGCTCTGCCAACTTGTAGGGTATCATAATCGAACTCCAAGAAACTCAAAAAAACAGTCATACTACCAACCCTTTTGCGTGGGATACCATCCATCATTAATGTACAAAGGCATGCTCATACATACACCATCGGTGTCCACTATGCCGCGAAGACGGTAGCGACAACGACCGCAACAACGGGCCAGAAACCGAGCGTCTCCACAACAGTGCGGAAGGCAGCGGAGCCAACCTCGTCGGAACCGCCGGCTGCGGTGGTGCCGTTGGGCAGGGAACCGTTGATGAGGATGGTTTCGTTGCCGTTGTACTCGCCAATGTTGACGACAGACTTGTTCAGCGCATTATAGCTGCCGTTGCCAAGGAGTGAGTTCATGTACTCGGTGCTGTTGTTCTCGTCGCAGCCGCAGGGCTGGTACTCTTGGCAACCGCACAGCACCGGCTTCGTCTGGTTCTGGCGGGCCGTCTCGTTATAGTACCGGTACGGGTGGCTGTAGGGATACATGTGCGCGCCAAGCCAGAGACCGGGCCAAAAGGCTAAGGCACCGCCGACGAGCAGGAACGGCACCATGTTGCCCCTCCTTGCGCCGGCCGAATAGGGAACCGTCGCGCCGCCGCCATAATATCTGCCGCCGCCGTATGCTGGGACCGGTCCGCTTCCTGTCCTTGTCGATCCGCCGGAGCTGTCGCGAGCACCGCCTCTTGAGGTGCTTGACTTAGTGTTAGTCTGCTGTCTGCTACTTCTGCTTCTGCTTCTGCCCGGGTACGGCAATCTCCACGGGGACCGTCCAGATGAAGGAAAAGAAGGAGACGAGGGTCTGTACCTGGAACCGCCACTGCTGCTGCCACCACTTTTTGAACCACCTGATGAACCGCCTTTTGATGAGCTTGATCCTGAAGAACCAGAGCCGGAGCTAGAGCCGCCGGAGCGACTGCCACCTCCCGACCGGGACCCACCTGAGGAAGAGCCTCCGCCGCGACCGCCGCCGCCGCCGCCTCCGCCCTTGCGCTTCCACAGCTTCTCGTCCTGCTGGGTGTTGTCGCGCTCGAATTTGGGGGCGAGGAATGCGACGTCGGAGCCATGGAGACCGGGCTCCACGGCGGCGGCCCACGCGGGCGCGAGCAGCGTCAGCGCGACGACTGCGAGATCTACTCTCATTTTCGCTTTCGGTGGGATGTGTTTATTAGGCCCGGCTTATTCGGTAAGAAGGTACGTAGGTATATGCGACGTTGATCAAAATGCGACGCTGTAAATGCCAATTTCCAATACGGGATAGGGCCGTGCAAGTCTCGTGTGCGACTCGAAAAGCAAATAGGCCAAAGTTTGAGATATGTATGGGCAAGTTGTAAGATTTAAAAGAGGTTGCAGGAATTGGCGGAAGTGGGAGCGAGAGGAATTTTGTCTCTTTCCCGTTTCAAGAGATGGGCAGGGCGTGTCAGAGTGCCAAGAGATCGAAGTGTGACGGTCTATCCACACTGGCAGGGATGCTCGGACTGGTCCAATATGCCGTCAGACGATGGCTGTGATGTGTAATAGACTGAATGGCCCCGTTGCCACCACACTAGGTATGACGGATGGCCGGAAGAATTGGTGCGCCCTGAATGAGTGTGGTTGCTTCCCACACTTCCCTTGTGCGCCTTCCGCTCTTGATTGCTTGGCTGTGTTCGGTAGGATTTGGGTAAAACGAAGTTCGCTTTACCGGCGTTGTTGGGGTAAGTTGGTAAGATAGGTAGGTACTTTAGGATCGGCGTATACAAAGGAAGGAATTTCCTAAGGTGTGTGCGGCTGTTGGAATGCGCGATGAAGTCAGGCCGTTGAAAGAAGGATTGGGGTCGGGGCTTGGGTGCGTCCTCTTTTTAGGAAAGCGTCTTTCTTAGGATGTACGTAGTAGGGGTGTCGAAGTCTATGATGCAAGCAGGGTACTTGCTTGTCGCTCGGTGAAGTTGGTAAAGCAAGGAGGCTATTTTGTATTTGGTGAGATGGTTTTCTCCAGGTCTTGAAAGGAACGATGATGAGGGGGGAAGCGGAAGCCTTGGATATCTTATAATTCGAGACAGACTCTTTCCCTTTTTTCCAATTCACACCACGATGGCAGGCAGTCAGCATTTGGTAGAGCCAAAAGGTGGCGGCACAGCCGAAGAGGATCCTCCCCAAGCTATGGATCCGTTCCCATCGAGGATCATACCGTTGGCTGTTTTCCCTTTTGGTAAATTCATAGCTGGCGTTGCCTGAGCCCTGGCATAAGCTTCGATGACGGCGTTTCTAATGCGCCACGAAGGCACCGATCGTTTGTTCGTGGCGGTATGCCATCCCACAGACATAGAACAACCATTACCGTACTCCGTTTGCATTCATTCAGGTCGTTTCCGACAGGGTACCTACAGAGTGAGCCCTCCCTCCATAGCAGAGTGGAAAGAAGCTACGCCACGACCAGCGGTAGAAGATCGCCTGTCTAGGCTGTTAATCATTCCTTGAGCCGTTTGAATTCCCCATCAGCGCCTCTCTACAGAATCGGAAAAAATTGAATAATCAACAGGGAGTTTTAGTGTCGATAACCTGAGCATCTAAGCAGAGTCGGGCGGTGCCAAGAGGATTAGTTCGGGGACTTTGGCAACCGACGGTGTGAGCTTGGGAGGTACCTTGGCACACAGCCACACGCCCGCCAGGACGCAAGTTTCTGCCTAATGAGAGCAATGAGAGCACCGGGGTGACAGTGTTCCCCCCATCTCGCTTATTCAAGCTTATTTGGTGGCTAATGCCCAGTGGTTGCCATGTTGAGCAATGACTCCAATCTGAGGCTGTGCACATCACATTCCGCCCAGTTAGCGGAGCGGACAGCTCGCACTTCCATTGCTCGCCTCCCACTCTAGGTCAGCCAGCAACCACTCGAACAGTACGGAGTACGGATACTTTGTGCCAGCTAACGCAACGGGATCCCATCACAGGCAATCGTACCCTCTCACTTTATGATCTGACATTTGCTCACCGGCCCTGTTGTATCAAAGGTCATACTGGTACAAGCAGTCCATCAATCAAGCCTATCAGCAACGGACGTCGGTACCCCAGACGACTGGAAGTTTTGACTCCATATTCTTCAACATCGATTTTCTCTTGTCCCTGGATGCCTCGCGAGTTGCCTTGCGCCACTTTTTTCGGACCTTTTCGACCTCGTGCTTATTGTTGCCTCCACAATCGGGCGCACACCTCAAACCCCCTCGCATCAATACAAGCTCATTTGATTCAACTTATCACACCGATGTGCGGGGTCTCGTCCCCTCGGATTCAATCTGTCTGACCACAAAGTCTTTCTTTCCTTCTTATCCTTATACCCGCGTCCTACCTACTCCTTCGGTCTCGGTCAAATTTAGATCCAAAGGTCCCAAAGGAGAAGAGAAAAGACCTTGAACATGAGCGGCCCCGACAAGAGTCTACTGGACCGCCTGAGCGCGTTGAAGGGCGGCAGTCCCGGAGTGTCAATGGACAGGTCATCAAAGTAAATAAAAAGAAAAGACCACCGGCATCTTCGGGATAACCAATTTGCTAAGGTTTTTTCTTCTACAAGTGCCCTGAATGTCTCCCTCACGGGCATCGAGCCAGCAAAGCCGCCCTCGAGGGAAGATGCACTGGCCGCTCGGTTGAGGTCCCTGAGAAACACACCCGAGCGCGAGGAACCGCCGCCCCAGCAGACCGCAAAGGTCACCACACCAGCGAGCTCTCGTCTCGGTCAGCAGCTTCAGTCTCCGGCGTCCCCATCGCGGGGATGGTCCCACACGGGAGGACCTGGATCAGCAGCAGCAGCACCGCCCCAGTCCCAGCCGCAGCAGCATCAGTCCTCAAGATCGCCCGCGCCGTCGTCCACCACCGCTCCGGCTCCGGCGGCTCCGACGGTAGAAGCGGGGGACGATGACGTCGATCCCCTCCTGCAGACGGATGACCAGACCCTCGAGGATCTGCTTAGCGATGAGGACTTTGGTGGTTCGCCGCAGCAGTGGCAATCTCACTCCACCGACGATGATTCCGCCAAGGTGAACGCCCTTCTAGAAGAGCTTTCGAAGACTTCGGTGGATCCGTCTAGGGGCAATGGGCGAGATGGCTCTGCTGACGGTCGAGACGATGATGATGATAATTCGGATGGTGGAAAAATGGGCCGCGAGGTGGATGACTTACTCTCACAGGCTGTAGAGGAGGCGAGATACAACTCTCGGCATGAGCCCATTCTAACAACGTCGGGCGACGAGTACGGAGGCCAAGATGCCTCACGAGACGATCGTCAAGGTGATGGCGGCACAGATCTCTCCCTCCCCTCAGTACCCTCAACCATCGCTGCCCCAAAGGCAGACAACGAAGCCCAGGGCGGCGGCCTCCCCGACCTAGGACTCCCCTCTGTGCCGTCTAACGCGCCCAAACATGATGCTGCATCAAATTTTGACAACGACATCGCGGCCCGCATGGCCGCGCTCAGCGGTCTCGGAGGACCCTCGTCAGACGACGCTGGTGGTATGGGTCTCCCCTCCGTCCCGACATTCCAGCCCGCAGACCGGTCCGTGAAGCAGAAGCGTCTGACGTCCAAGACGGGCTACACAGACGAGGACGCCGCGACGTGGTGTACGGTCTGCCTGGAGGACGGCACGTTACAGTGCCTCGGCTGCGCGGATGTCTACTGCACCAGGTGCTGGCACGAGATGCACATCGGCCCAGCGGCGGCCTTTGACGACCGGACGCACAAGGCCGTCCGGTTCGTCAAGCCGGGGAAGGACAGCGAGAGACGGGTCATGCTGGGAGCGTCATGAGGAGGAGCATGTAAACGATTTCTGAGCATTCTGTGTCGCTAAAAGAAAGAAAAAAGACTACCGACCCGGTCCCATTCCCTTCCCGTCATCGTGTGTGTACCTTGACCCGTGTTCCAATACAAAATTCCACGCTTCCCATACCCGTCGATGATATGCAATGTGCTTGTTTTACAGCCCTTTCCCGTATATGCTCGGCACAACAGTCCTGATATCAAGGAAGCCTCAAACATTGAACTAGGCTTCCTCAGAGGACCCGGCACCGTTGTTTCCCTCTTGCGTACCGTAGCTGGTCTTGTTGGTGCGGCCAGTGATATCCTGCCACGTCGCTCCGAACCTGCGACCGGTGCTTGCCAGCAGACCCTCCTCTTCGTCCTCCTCGGCGTCCTCATCAACCTCGGACACATTGAGCTTGGGAGCCCGGAAGAGTCCAGTCGTGAAGACAATGAGGAAGATGCCGAGGAAGACAAACTGGGCCCAGAAGTCTACCAGGCCGAAGAAGGGCCACGTGATTGCGATGCGGTTGAGGAACTCAGCCATGATGGATGGCGTGCAGACCTTGAGGGCCTCGGGATCCAGGGCTTCGGAGCACTGCACCAGATAATCGGGTCTGTCCTTGCAGTTGGGGGTCTCCCCGGCGTGGTGAGGAGCTGTGCAGTATGTCTGAGTGCCGTACATGGAATACTGGGGAGCCACCATGTTTGCAACGGTGTAGTTGATGGCGAGAATGATGAGGGCCAGCATGACGGTCGCAATGAGGAGGGCTTGCGGCGCGGTACGCCCCTTGCGGATCTGGAAGATGCGAACCCACAAGAATCGGATGCCGATGGTAGCAATACCCGTGATTGAACTGCTGAAGAAAAATAGGACCAAGAGGGCCATCAAAACGTAGTCAATGGGGAAGGCCTTGGCCGACTGGATAAAGACCCAATTGATGGGTTGGAAGATGTTCATGTGACCCAGAATGTAGCCGCACTTGCCCTTGCAGAAGGAGTTCTTTGCCTTGTCGATGCCCGTGATCAACATGGAAACCCAGATTAAGACGGAAAGCAAGAGCAGTAGGATACCGCCGAGAAGCTTGATGGGCCGGAAGACGGCGCAGACCTTGAGCCAAAATCTGTAAATAGTGCTGCGACCTTCGCCGGAGGCCTCGGCTGCTAGTCTCTCGCGACGCGTCAAAGTGCGCTCTTCGCGCATCAGTGCCTCGAATTCACGCCTGTCCTTGGACGACATACCCTCAGGGCGACCGGCATTGCGCATCTCCAGCTGGCGCTGGCGCTCCCGGTTCTGCTCCAAGGCCGTTGCGGTGCTTTCGGTGAGTTGAGGCGCAGAAATCGAGGGCGCAGACTTGATGAAGGACATGGGAAGCAGGGCCAGTCCGGCGGCTGTGTAGATGACATACAGCAGAACTCCGAGGGTGACGAGAAGTCCAAGAGCAAAGGCAAGCGCCTTTTGGCCGTTGTTCTGAGCCAGGATGCGCTTGAAGTAGTCCAGGTCCCAGTGAGCACCGTTGTGATCGCCGGCGGCTGGTACGAAGAAGCCGACCAGGAAGAGGATCAAGACTAGAACGACGAAGACAAGTGTGTACTTCAGCGCGCTGATGAGGCGACTGCCGAATGACCGGCCCTCCTCGACTTCGATCTCATCGTACTCCTCATGCCAGAAGTAGGCGAACGGGATGATCAAGAGACACAGCAGAGCATCGAAGCTATAGAGGGAATAGTAGACGATGCGCAGTGTCTGAAGGATATCGTGGACTCGCGCCTCAGTAGCCCAGTCCTTCTTCACGCCGAGTGATGCGTGTGTTGTGGAGGAGATGAGGGCGATGTCGACAGGCAAGAGAAGGACGGTTGCCAGAAGGGCCGTCAGACTGACAATAGCGACGATGCTGACAATGGCGGATCGCTCCCGGGGCGTCTGCCAGGTGAAGGTAGTAATAATGGCAGCCAGGAGGCAGAAGACGACTGCGGCGGCGTAAGCCACCCAGATCAGACTGGTCTGGAGTAGGCCTGCGTTGGCCATGATGAATTGCGGGCTGGCCGTACGGTTTCAGTATTCGATGGCGATTCTTTGGCCGTAGAATAGACCTTTGTTGATGTTTTCCGAGAAATCAACAGAGCTGGCGCAGAGCTGTGGGCATCGTCATTGTTTCACTGCTTAATTCTTGGGTGCTTGGGGAGCTCTAGCTTAGCATGCCTCAGTAGAGGTTGCGCCGGGTGACGTAACACGGACAGCATAGTTGCCTGAGCTGCTAGCTCCTGCCGTGTGGCGACAGGTTTTAGCGCGGCCCCAGCTCCCAGTCAATCTCTAGCTTGCCTGCCTTAGTGTGCTGCACCTGAGCGTCACAGAGCTGATAGGGGGCACAGGGGGCTGCTGAGTGCTGCAAGTGCTGGGGTCTAGATCACTGTAGGCCTGCTGCAGCACCTGCACCTGCAATATTGGATGCTCCGGAGATTCGGGTCTTTCTTTGATCCGCTTGTCCAAATCTTACCAATCAGAATGCGTGACACGCTTCCATGGGGTTTTGCGCGGCGAGAGCTCTTGGAAGGAGCTATTGTTCGATTGATTTGCGACAGACAACCTCCCACCTTGCGCTTCCGCAAAGCCACGATCCTATACATCACCCTCATACACTAATGACAGCAAGGGCTCCGGGGGCAATTGCCTGAGACTGTCAAGATGCAGTGTTACACAGAGCTTACGCCGCCTACTGGTGTGCAGTACAGTCTCAGCTTGCCCTTCCTCTCGGCGCAAAGCAACAATCTGGTCGTCGCAAAGGGCTCTTTACTGCAGATCTTCTCGACAAAGACCATTTCTTCCGAAGTCGACACATCGCAGACTCGAGAGCAACAGACTTCTAGGGCCGACGAGCCTTACGACCGCCGATTGAACGACGATGACGGCCTCGAGTCTTCCTTCCTGGGCGGCGACGGCATGCTGGTTCGCGCCGATCGATCAACCAACACCAAGCTCGTTCTTGTCGCCGAGTTCCCAATATTTGGCGTTGTGACAGGGCTGGCAAGAATTAAATTGCAACACTCCAAGTCAGGAGGTGAAGCTCTCCTGATTGCTACAAGAGTTGCGAGGCTGAGCTTGGTCCAGTGGGATCCCGAGAAACACGCACTCGAGGATATCTCCATCCACTACTACGAGAAAGAAGAGCTGGAGGGCTCGCCATTCGACGGTCCATTGAACAACTACCGCACATATCTTGCTGCCGATCCTGGTTCGCGATGCGCCGCCCTTAGGTTTGGTCCCAGATACATCGCCTTTCTACCCTTCAAGCAAGCCGATGAGGACATAGATATGGATGACTGGGATGAAGATGTGGATGGACCTCGGCCGGCAAAAGAGCCGTCAGCTGCAGCGGCCACAAATGGAACTAGCAACATAGCAGATGTACCATACTCAACATCATACGTCCTCCCTCTTCCGCAGCTTGATCCCAGTCTCCTTCATCCTGTGCACCTCGCCTTCTTGCATGAGTACAGAGAGCCCACCTTTGGCATCATATCCTCGACACAACGCCGCTCCTACACCTTACCTCGCAAGGACCACTTCTCTTATAAGGTCTTCACGCTCGACTTACAGCAGAGGGCTTCGACCGCGATTCTTTCCGTCAACAACCTACCCCAGGACCTTTTCAAAGTCATTGCCCTGCCAGGTCCTGTCGGTGGCGCTCTACTTGTCGGCACGAACGAGTTGATCCACATAGATCAGTCTGGAAAGCCGAATGGCGTAGCCATTAATGCCTTCACCAAAGAAACCACAAACTTCCCTCTTGCAGATCAGTCTGATCTGGATATGCGGCTCGAGCATTGCTACATCGAACTGATGTCTGCTGAGAACGGGGAGTTGCTGATGGTCCTGAGCGACGGGCGTTTGGCCATCATCACTTTCAAGATTGACGGACGCACAGTTTCAGGGGTCAGTGTCAAGCTTGTTCCGGCCGAGGTTGGCGGCAATATTGTCCAGTGCAGTGTCTCCTCCATCTCGAAGCTCAGCAAGAATGTCTTCTTCCTAGGAACTACGGGAAGTGACTCGCTTGTGCTTGGCTGGACACGAAAGCAGGCGCAGAATGCACGCAAAAAAACACGATTGGTCGATGATTCATTCGAGTACGACCTGGAAGACGAAGATATGGATGATGACGACGACGACGATCTATACGGTGAGACGACAACAACAGTGATTCAACCCGGTGCGACTGCCAATGGGGTTTCCAAGGGGGGAGACTTGAGTTTCCGCATTCACGATTCCTTGCTGAGCATAGCGCCCATCAAGGACATGGTGTCGGGCAAGCAAGCGTTCATACCAGATAGCGAGGAAGAGAAGAACGCGATCGGTGTCGTATCCGACCTGCAGCTCGCCTGTGCGGTGGGTCAGGGCAACGCCAGTGCTGTTGCCATCATGAACCAAAATATTCAGCCAAAGGTCATCGGCAAATTCGAGTTCCCAGAGGCCAGAGGGTTCTGGACCATGTGCGTCCAGAAACCAATCCCAAAGTCCTTGCAGGGCGATAAGGGGGCCAATGCCGCAGTTGGTAGCGAGTTTGACGCCTCATCAATATACGACAAGTTTATGATTGTTTCCAAGGTCGATCTAGATGGATACGAGACGTCAGACGTTTATGCTCTTACTGGCGCTGGTTTTGAGGCGTTGTCAGGGACAGAATTTGATCCCGCGGCAGGCTTCACGGTGGAGGCAGGTACTATGGGGAAGCATTTGAGGATCATTCAGGTTCTCAAATCGGAAGTGCGGTGCTATGATGGAGGTAAGTCGTGTTGTTCTTTTCCCCGAGGCGTTCGTCATCGCCGCTAATCGTTACTCAGACCTCGGGCTAAGCCAAATCCTGCCGATGCTCGACGAGGATACCGGTGCTGAACCACGGGTGATCAGCGCCAGCATCGTTGACCCTTACCTCCTCCTCATTAGAGACGACTCGAGCATTATGGTAGCTCAGATCGATAGCAACTGTGAATTAGAGGAGATGGAAAGAGAAGACGACACTATTCTCTCAACAAAGTGGCTCGCAGGATGCCTGTACAAAGACACGAACGGTCTCTTTGGCCAGAAACCAAAAGGCGAGGCTGCGACAGAAGATCACAGCATTTTCATGTTCTTGCTGAGTGCAGCAGGGGCTCTCTACGTGGGTATCGAGTAATATCTGACTGTCAGACATTCTTGCTTACCTATCCACAGATATACGCTCTCCCAGACCTTTCCAAGCCAGTCTACGTTGCTGCTGGCTTGACATATGTTCCTCCTTTCCTGTCTGCAGACTATGCCGTCAGACGAGGGACCGTCCAAGAGACGCTGACTGAGATCTTGGTGGCCGACCTGGGGGACGCCACCGCAACTTCACCACATCTCATCGTAAGTTTCTGCGTTTTGAACCTTTCTGATTGCTCCCACTAATCTTATATGCTTCAAAAGCTCCGTCATGCGAATGACGACCTTACTATATATGAACCGATTAGTCTTAAAATGCAGGACGAATCCGTGGGCCTCGCAAAGACTCTTCATTTCCGCAAAATCAACAACCCTTCTCTTGCCAAGAGTCCTGTTGAAGTTGCCGACGATGACGCCAACGAGCAACCGCGCTTCGTTCCACTCCGAGCCTGCAGTGATATAAACGGATACAGCACTGTCTTCTTGCCTGGCGCTTCGCCGTCCTTCATCATCAAGTCCGCCAAGAGTAGTCCGAAGGTTGTCGGCCTGCAGGGTATTGGTGTGCGCGGCATGAGCTCATTCCATACAGAAGGCTGCGAGCGTGGTTTTATCTACGCTGACTCGGAGGGCCAAACGCGTGTCACACAACTCCCTGAGGACGCGAACTTTGCCGAACTGGGCGTTTCTGTGCGCAAGATTCCTGTGGGTGATGCCGTTGGCCTGATTGCCTACCATCCACCAATGGAGACCTACGCCGTTGCGTGCAGCGTCTCTGAGGCCTTTGAGCTGCCAAAGGACGATGACTACCACAAGGAGTGGGCTAAGGAGACCACGACCATATACCCTCGGACCGAACGCGGCATCATCAAGCTCATGAGTCCGACGACGTGGTCTGTCATCGACACAGTCGAGCTCGAGCAGCATGAGGTAGCGATGTGCATGAAGACGCTCCACTTGGAAGTCTCTGAAGAAACCAAGGAGCGCCGCATGCTCATCACCATCGGTACCGCCATCAACCGTGGTGAGGACTTGCCCATTCGCGGCCGTATCCTCGTCTACGACGTCGTTCCCGTTGTCCCGCAACCCGGCCGTCCAGAGACAAATAAGAAGCTCAAGCTCGTGGCCAAGGAGGAGATCCCCCGCGGCGCCGTCACCGCTATCTGCGAGGTCGGCTCCCAGGGTCTCATGCTCGTCGCCCAGGGACAGAAGTGCATGGTGCGCGGTCTCAAGGAGGACGGCACGCTTCTGCCTGTCGCCTTCATGGATATGAACTGCTACGTGACGGCGGTGCGCGAGGTCCGGGGCACGGGCTACTGTCTCATGACGGACGCTTTCAAGGGCGTCTGGTTCGTCGGATACGCCGAGGAGCCGTACAAGATGATGCTCTTTGGCAAGAGCGCGGGCAAGTTCGAGGTCTCGACGGCCGACTTTGTCGTTGCCGGCGACGAGCTGCACATTGTGGTCTGCGACAAGGACGGCGTGATCCACGTGATGCAATTCGATCCGGAGCGTAAGTCCAACTCTTGGGCACTATTCAATCGTCTTCAGTCCCTAAAACTAACTTCTTACAGATCCCAAATCCCTCCAGGGCCATCTCCTCCTAAACCGCGCCTCCTTCTCCGCGGCACCAAACCACCCGACAGCAACCCTCTCCCTCCCCCGGACGACCGCTTCCCCGTCATCGGCCAACGCCTCCAAGAACCCGCCCACGACCCTCCTCCTCGCCTCCCCAACCGGCGCCCTCGCCTCTCTCAACCCTCTCGGCGAACAAGCCTACCGCCGCCTGACCTCCCTTGCCAACAGCATCGCCGCCGCCGTGCCCCAGGCCGCGGCGACGAACCCCAAAGCCCACCGTCTACAACCCCTCGATGCGCGCACGCCCGGCGTCGACACCAGCGCGGGCCGTAGCATCGTCGACGGTGCGCTCCTCGCCCGCTGGAACGAACTCGGTGCCGGGCGCCGTTTCGAAGTCGCCGGCAAGGGCGGGTACGGCGACGTCCTCGAGGTCAGGGGCGAGCTGGAAGGTGTCCTGGGATGGAGTGGTATGGCCTACTTCTAAAAAGCAGATTTATTTCCCAGCCTTCCGATTTAGACAGATCTCAAAAATGAGGTGAGAATATGGAATTTTGGCAAATGTTTGAGAAATGGGGATTAAGAAACGAAAAGCAAGATGAGAGGAGCTGCTGATGGGGTTTTTGATCCCCTGGCAGCTTTTCCTTATTAGGGATGAGCAAACATCTGAGATAGAGCAAAGCGTAGCGCTCGTGTAGTATAATTCATTTCAAGGCGTAATTTTGCAGTCGATTTAAGACGAAGAATTCGTGAGATATCGTCATCAAATCGCGGGCATCAAGACGTGGGACAGTCACTTACATGCTTGGTATAAAGGGTGTAGAAAGGTATCATACTAATGGGTATACTGTTGACTAAAACTAAGAAAATTACCGCCCTTCTTTATGATGCGGTATATCGTTTGTAGGCTCTTGTTCTTTGGCAGAATGTCAATGCCAACTCGTCTCCATCATCAATGTCTTTACTCGTCGACAGTCAAATGCATGCTGCGCACCCTGTCCACACTCTAACAATTTTCCCGCCACAAGGCATATTCTTTTAGGTACGAAACCTCTTAATCGTACACATGCCGAAATACTCGACACTTATTAAAATGCTGGTGCCAGTTTAAAGTCGGCGTTTTTGAAATATTGAGTCTTAACGCCGTCGGAATACGTGGGAAACAATCGAACGTCGGTCGCAATATTCATCTACGCTGCAGGGTGATTCTTGCGACGAATACTCCCGAAACGACGCTTTAGGCTGTCGCCGAAATTGTGACGATGAACATCGGCGCTGTTGGATTGTCCCTTGGGCAGTTCGGAGGGGCCGGGTCTTCCGTCTGCAGCATTGCTGACACTGCGCTGACGTACCATTGCCCCGTTGTCCTTACGTGACTGGGCGTTGACGCCGGAGCGCATCTCGTATTCTGCGGGGCTGTTGCCGAGAGACGCCTTGCGCATACGCTTCTTCTCCTTAAGATCTCTCTCGTAGGTGTAAGAAGGCTCTCCCTTTCCCTTCAGATCATCAGGGTGGTATTGCTGTTTTAGATTAGTCTCAAGTTGCATGTTTTCAGAAGTGACATCAACTTACAATTCCATCCCATCTCTTGTACGCACCACCTTGGTTATTAGGCTCACGCATGAGATCGGCTCCTTCCTCATAGTTCATAACATTGCCGCTCATGTCAGTGCCTCCGGCGGGAATGAGGCCGGTACCTTGCAACGGCACATGCTTTTCCAGGGAATCTTGAATGTATTCGCGAGGCGTAGCCTTCAGGGCTTCCATGTTGGACTCTTTGACAGCCTCAACAGGCGCGTATCTCTTGTTGCGGTTGCGAGACGCTAAGGTGGCATCATAGGGGCCGCCATGATGGTAGACGCCGCCGATACTATCGAGCGAGTCAATGGTGTCCGTTACCGGGCCATATTTGCGCGTCCTCAAGTGAGGCGCGCGGTCTGCCGCGCGCTGCTCGCGCTTGATCATATCTAGAGGTCGGTGAGACATATCGCCTGGAAACCTCTGTTTGATGGAACTGGAGCGTCTGAGACCGCTTGAGCCTTGGTGTGAGTTCACGCTTTTGCTGCGCTGAACTGAAGAAATGGGTTGGCCTGCGTTCTCCTCGACAATGGAGCGAGTACGTGTGCTGATGCTTCGAGTGACACTCGTGCTTGGTGGGAAACGATTGCTTGGCGAAGACGGGCTCCGGAGTCCGTTGCTTCGAACACTGGTACTACGGCCTAGGGGATGGTTTGGCGAAGAGGGCGATGCTGGAGATGCAGGTCCTCCAGACAAGGACAATGAAGCGCGCTTATAAGTCGGCGAGAATGGATTGGATGAGTGAAAGCTGGACCGGGTTGGGCTGGCGGATGCAGGTGGAGTAGGATATGATGAAGTGCGGCTGTGAGCTCTGTGACTAGTCTGACTCTTGTCGCTGTTCTGAACTGGTTCCTTGCCTTTCTTCTTCTGCGAGAAAGTTCGAAGCAATGGATCGGGGTTTATGAATGAGCTTCCGGGGCCTGTTTCTTGGCTTGGTTCGGGGGCAGTGAGAGGATCGAGCAAATATGCTTTAGCCTAGAAGAATTGAGTTAATTGATGGATGTGAAATGGTAGAACAGATATGAGTCAATGTCAAGTAACGTGAGGAGATAGCAAGTATAAGAGCAATGAGAGGCCGCGCATGCTTCTGTGGAGGGACCCGTATTATTTACGTCGTCAAGGGCTTAGCTGCAGGACGAATGATGTGAGGCAGAGCTCGGAGCTGTTCTTGGAAATCCGGCAGGTTGGATGGGCAGTGACGCAAGAAGGGACTCTAGAGCGGCGTGGTCTGGGTGGCTTGAGCCGTGCATTGCAGGGGACTCGTCCGTACCTTAGCGACCAGCACATCTAAGTTGGCAGGGGTAGCTTGGACGGAGAGGGTGGCTTTGAAGAACAAGTTCGGGCGCAAGCAGCTGGGGCCGTCGGGTGCCCTGACAGGATAGAAAGGATGGGCGAGACGGGACGATCGGCTTCGACCAAGGCTGACGACACTTGACCAAGGTGACTGTGTGACTGGTTGGGCCGAGACTTGCTTGGGTGCCCGGGAGTGACGGAATATGGAACATTGGGAGACGGGCTAGAAGGGCAGTGATAAGGCCGCAGATGCGACGGTGACGGGATCGGAAATGTGGAGAAAGGCGAGAACAGAAAAAGAACCGTGGGCGATGACGATGTTGGCAGTAGCGCGCAATCGGGAAATGAGCAAAGAGATAATATTAACAACAGCAACAGCTGGCACTTGTAACAGTGCGCTGTGTGCCAGGGTAGATAGAGGTGAATTGAAGTTTGACCAGGCCATTGACTTACCCACTGCTTGTCGGACCCGTCCATGGCTACTGACGTCGATGCGACAATACCGGTGAATGCGTGTGTATCCTTACGGTGAGGTGATCGGGTTACCGGTGCACAGCCGAAGCTGCGAAGATGGGTCAAGGTAGGGATAGATATGAGCAAGTGGTCTAGCGGGAGCCTCGAACCAGGTTGGCAGCTCGTTTACTGGAGATTGCGATGTTTATTTCGAATGATCCGAAAGCGAGTCGGTCCTTGGCCAAGACGGCGAAGTGATCTCGGTGTAGGCAATGTATGCGGTACACCGACGGTGATTTGGCAGATGGCAGTGGGACAGTTGCAGTGTCGTGTCAAAAAAAAAAAAAACGATGCGAGATGCAAAGCGAAGCAATGCAATGCAGACAACAGACGAGAGTTGAGAGAACGTGGAAGCCCGGGGGCACCAAAGTAGGCGCGAGTGCCCTTTTGATAGTTTCCAGTCTCGTCCGTTGTTCCGCTTGGTGGGAAAGAATAAGGTGCTTGCCAGGCGAGGGGCAATAGAGTCATGGGCATGAGGGTGGGCGAGATGCCGACGACAGGCACAGACAGTCCAGGCCCATTCCTACCTTGGACTTGTAAACCCCGTCCTTGTAAGGCAGGTCGGCTGCATGTGAGTGAGACTATGAGAGGTACTTTACGCAGCAAGGTAGGCGTGAGCGTGAGGAAGAAGAGTGTGTTCAGTGTGCGAATGCAGCAAGCGCAGAGAATTCTGCGCTTATTGCTTGGACTTCCGGGAAGATGCCAGCATAGGAAGTGACCATCATGGGACCTGCGCTGACTGGGGCAGCCGAGCTTTCCATTGGTGACATGTACCCTACTGCATAAGGTAGCAACCTCGTTTGTGGTGTCTTTTTGGTGATTTGTGGCTGCAGTGACAAGGACCTGGACTTGGGGAACTTTCATGTATGGTTGGAAGGAGGGGGGATGGAGGGGAAAGAAAGGGACGGGGACTGAGACCGCAGGACTGGACGGTGTGGGCAGGTACGCAGGAAGGCGGGGGACACGCTACTTTCTGAGGGTGCCTTCCATTTGCAGTGTTGGGCAATTTTCTCAAAGGAAGTCACTTTCTGGGATAATGTTACCAGATGATTGGAGGTTTTCCCTCGTATGATACCTGCCGCCATACCTTGCGTTATCTTTCCTTCCTTCCTTCCTGAACTGGTTGAAGAAAGAATGTCAGCGCCCATCGCCATTGTCTTCTCGACACCTCATGTTCGGTGATCGAGACTTCGCAGTCTCCCTTGCTCCGGCATCACGAGATCGGCCCCGAACCACTACTGCCCCCCAGCCTCTCCGATGTCTCTCACGTGCGGTTCCATCTTCTCCTCTTCCCCTCAGCGGCTCCGCTCATACTGTCACGATCCCTGCAGGGTCTTATAACGGCATCCTCGACGGAGCGCGAATATGTACATAGGGCAGGACACGAGAAGAAACGAAACATCTGCCCGCTAAACTGACTTAGCTCAGCCACAGGCACCCGATAACGGGACACGCGGACCCTTGACCAACATCTACTGCACAGTAGTCGGACATCGCATTGGTTACTGAGCCCTACGTCATGCCATTGGCAAAGTCAAAAAATCCTCTAGTCAGGGGATCGGCAACCGCAACATCCCACTTCACCTTTCCACCTTTCCACCTAGCCTCTAGCCTCTAGCCTCTGGCCTCTAGCCTCTAGCTTCCAGGTATCCCGCAACAGTTGCAGGGCTGATATTGCAGCCGCGAAATCACGAGAGCAAATCATACGTCTTAGTGCTGCGCAAAAATAGAGTCGGGATGCGCGGACACTTGGAACGTAACCGGCACCGACGCCGGCAACTAATATGAACAAAGAAACGGAGATACAACGGAGCCTCCGTGGCCGAAGCGTCCACGTATGCTCCATCCACCTCCGCCTCTTCCACTCTGTCAATACTCAGCACGCAAGGGACTCGCAGCATATTACCAGACCGCATAACGGGGGGCATACGGGAAGGGTCCGGTCCACGTCCCATCGCCCCTCTTGTCAAAGCAATGCTTGCCCACGACACCTTGCGAGAACACGTCGCCCAACCGGGAACAGCCTTCAGCGCCATCAACTAAGAGCAATGAGCTTAAAATAATGGTCGTCGGCATTTCCTTACTGGCAAAGAGAAAAGATTGAGCAATGGGGCTCTCATTTGCACAATATTATGCCGAACCCATGACAGAGGAAGATTAATGATCAAAGTATTGCCTGGCACTAGGCTAGAGAAATCTCCCGAACCCGTGAACATATTGCAAAGCAAAAAAAAAAAAAAAAAAAAGCCTTCCTGCAGCCTGGGTGCCCATCAAATGGTGGAAAGGCGTTGTGGTGTCGTGCCTGGGCGCACCTCGATCGAGATCTTGCAACAAAGCTTCGACCGCATGCTGCTTCTCACAACAGGCAAATCGCTATCCGACGTACGGCCGGTGCCCGCTTCATCGTCCTCTACCTACCACTTGATGCCTCCATCTTGTACTACCACCTTTACTGACCACCATTGAACGTTTTCAGGGGACGAGCTATTGTACGGTCGACCAAGAGTACCGAACACCCGCTCAACGCTTATTGGTTCGATAACCCCTCCACAGACGCAGAAACATCCATCACCCGGATCTTCTCTCCGGCCTTCCTTTTGTCGGTCCCTGGCACCCGGCAATGACTCTTGTGGACTATTCGTCATCCGACTCAGCTTCAGAGGCCGGGTCACCTCCGGCCAAGCGGCGCAAAGAGGAGACCCACGGCTCCGTGCCAGCCGGCGCTGCACCTGGCGCCGGCGCCGGCGCTGGCAGTCGGAAAGAAACTCGACACAACCCTGCCACCACGTCGACCACGAAGGAGACAAATGGTGGCACTTCAACGCTTCCACCTCTCCCGGCCGAGTTCCACGACCTGTACGCTTCTACGGTGCGGAATGCCACTGCCGATAACCCGGCCTTGCACCAGGGCCGCAAGAGGACCATTCCCCATATTGCCGGCAACTGGCCTTCTCACGTATACATTGAATGTGAGTCTCAAGCATACATTTCTCTCGCAGCTACATACCTCACCTCAACTATACTGACCTCTTCAAACAGGGCATCCAACCGCGGACCAGCACTCCCTCCTCACTGCCCTGCTAGACGAGATCGCGCCTCTGCTTGGCACACAAGAGTTGCGCCCGCTTCTAACTTCGGACCTCAACGCTCCCCTGCCACTCCACATCTCGCTCTCGCGGCCTCTGTCCCTGACCACGATGCAAAAGGACGCCTTCCTCTCCTCCTTGACGTCTGCCATGTCTTCCGCTACCGGCGAGTTCAGTCTATCATCCCGGGGGCTCGGCTTCTTCAAATCGCCAGAGTCGGACCGGGCCTTCCTCGTACTCCGCGTAGCATGCCCGACCGCCTCATCGCAGAATGACGCCAGCTCCGGCGGCAATACCACTACTACCGGCAGCAACCCGCAGCTCCGGACGCTGCTCAATAAGTGCAACAGCGTCGCTGTTCGTTTCGACCATCCGCCCTTGTACCAAGCCCACGCGACTGAGCTGGTCGACGACGCGTTCCATGTGAGTATTGGATGGACGTTTGGGCTGCCTGGGGAAAATGTCTGTTTGCGAACCTGCAGCTTGTTGAAGACGCCAGAGTTTCGTGGCATACGCAAATGGGAAATTGAGGTTTCGGGTATCAAGGCCAAGATTGGCAACGTTGTCACTCACATCCCTTTGAGTAACCCGTCCAAGAAGGGGAGAAACAGCCTTACCGAGGACGGCTTGTATGAGTAAAGTATTCGACACGCCAAGTGTCTACCTGGGGTGATGGGGCTAGTAATACTTCAGCGCCTGACATAGGAACACGCATAATTACGAACACTTTTTGATGCCGAGAAACGCAAGTCAAATTTCGGGGTGCTGGCATCGATTGATATGTACAGACTGGTCACGATACTAGCCTAGAAGCACTCTGGCGCCTTAAAATAAAATGATGAATAAACGCCATTTACCCCCGCCCGGGCATGCAAAGTAACAATATGCCATGCTGAAATGTTTAACGACCAAGAATACGAACAATGAGGAACAAATCAATCTACAACGCGTCTACAGCTCATCTACGGCCGGGCGCTCAAAGTGCCAGGTTCTAGGCGTGACGGGCAGACCGATAAAGTACTGGTAGAATCGCAGCAGCTCGAAAAGGAGAACATTAAAGCTGTTGACAGTTTGTTAGCCTTCTTTCCTCCCACAACTTTTTACCCCGTGGTGAATGGTTCATCACTTACATAGTCTTGGGAGCCTCGATCCACCGACGGACCACAAACTTGAAGGCCTTGTAAATGCGGCCAAACTCTTCGTCAAACATTTCCGCCAACGTGTCTTCTTCTGCAGGCTCGTCCTCGCCGTACTCCTCCTCGGGATCGGTCTTCTTGGGCTCAGCGTCTGGTGAAGTCACTACATTGTGCGGCTTCTTGGCCCGGTCGGGGATCGAGCTTGGTGACTTAGCTGCCGTGGCAGCGGACGCGGCGGCGAGAGCCTCCTCGGAATCAACCATCGCGCGGAACTTATTAATGGCCGCGAGAGAGCTGCTGATCCGGGCATACGTGTTGAACAGCGCGACCAGTTCGGTGCGCTTCAGGACGGGGATATCCTCGCTGGCGTTGTCGAACTCAAAGAGAACCTTGAGGGCGGTGCCGTAGCCGTTGGTCTGCAGCTTGCCCCAGAGACGGCATTTGTCGCAGCCGACGCAGTCCATGACGCGACTGACATTGCGGAAGCGGTTGCGGAAGTCCTCCTTCAGCGAGGGGCCCTCACCGTTCTTAAACATGAGGCCTTCGTCAAAGATTTGGGGCACGCTCGCCGCTCCCTCGGTGACCTCGAGGACCTTGGATCGCGTCGCGGCATCCTGATCAATGTCACCTGAACAGAAGGTGTAGTCGCGGCCCTGTAGGTAGGGACCAAGTTTGGCGACAGCGCGAGTGACGAGGGCGTAGTTGAAGTAGAGGTTGCTGATTCGCTCGGGGTGAGTGTGAAGGCGGCCGCGGTAGCATGCCACGTTGGGCTGCCATTCACCGGTGGTCTGATTGAGGAAATCCCAGCAGAGGTGGGTGCTGATGCTCGCGTGCATGCCGGAGATGACACGATAGAAGACGCGCTTCTCCAAGCACTCGTCGCCGGCCTCAAGACCAGTCTGGGCTGCAAACGGAGCATTAGGCTGCGTCTCACGCATCTGATCCAGGGCCTGCTGGCGCCCGACTGCCTCGAGAACCTGACGGAAATCCTGTGCCGCAGGGCCCTTGTGGGGGATCTGCGACTGTCCCAATGATGCCGAGTGCGGGAACGAGCTTTTCTGAAAGCAGTTCTCGCGGTAGATGGCGTCCCAGACTTGGGCAGCACCCATGCCAGCGTATCCGGTGAACCGTTCGGGATTGCGGAGGAGGCTCACGTAGTCGCCCTTGGAGCTTGCGCTCTCGTCTTCAGGGACGCAGTAATCTCGCTCGTCGCATTCATCGTCGTATTCCACCACACAGCTCTCGCCGACCTCCTCGCCTAGCTTTCCTTGTAGCGGCCGCTCGGGGCGCTCATGCTGCACTTTCCGAGGAGGGTGTTTCGCCAGGGGTCCTTCCAGCTTTCCGAGCTCGCTTGCCCTCCAGACCTCGGGGATATCCTCCTCATTGTCGAGCGTCTCTACGGCGCAGGCGATGTTGCCGCACATGCCATTTTCATCATTCCAGAAAGGGCACTTCTTGTGGAAGAGGTTCAGTCGGTAGTGTGAGAAGAAGTCGGTCGATCTCGTGAGGTCGTCGACTAGTGGCTTGACCTTGGTGTTCAGTTTATCGAGAGTAGAGTAGGAGGCGCATGCGTCGGAAACAATGGCCTTGGGGGAGATCTGGTACGACGAGTTAGAGAGGGAAATTCGGTACTCAGATACTGTGGCGGTGACGTAGGCCGTCGAGAAGAAGAAAAGGAGAAAATAAACGGCGGCATACCGCGCAATCATCTTGGGCGCTCTCGCATTGGACTGGAGAGCCCCAGAGTGCAAATACAGAGAGGAAGAATAGTCTGCTGGCAGACTTCATGGTGATCGAAGGAACCTCCCAGCGTCGTGATAAGGGTGGCTAATCGAAGGGTTTAATATGCAGCTGCAAAGCAAGAACAGGCGGTTGCCAGCTTGTAGAATTGCTTGCGCAACTCTAACGGAGATAGTTGGTGAAGTTGACAAGTTTCCAAAGGTTCGGCTGAAACGTTGCGAGTGTCCGGGCTCC